AGCATGATGGGCTGTCTTCTCACATATATTACGAGTTAGATACTGGGTTGTAGCTTGGGTAACCTAGTTAAAAAAGCTTATCCCTGTTGAAAGCTTTCATCCCGACTTCTGTCAGCCATTAAAACATTGAACCCATTTCCCCTTTAGCAGAGCAAACTTGTTCGCACCGCTACGTGGGAAGTGGTAGGAGGAGCTTCTCCTGAACTTTTAATCTCTCACAGACTATATATTGAATGGACACTGACAAGGTTACTTGCCGAGATCTTTATTCAGAATATTTTTCTAAAGGCTCGACCACACAGAAAAACATAGTTCGGCTCGAAATCTGGTTGACTTTCTGCGTGAAAACAGCTGGTCGAAAATAGGGCGTTCAGGCGACACCACATAGATAGCAAAGCCCGCGCACCGGATTACGACATCTACCACATTTTATGGTATACAAGTCGAGGTTCTTTCCCCAAATTTCTGTCTGTGCGTTTTGATAGAATATGGTGTTGCACCATATTCTATTATGGTGCTTTGCTTTTTTTTAATTAAGAGTATGGGTCTTAACTGCGCAAGATATGGGCCATGTCCACATTTACAACCTAGGAGGAACAGTACGGGGAGCAGTCTTTTTGTTGCACTGTTGCATCGTAACAGGTCCAGATCCATCAGACGTAGCTTTTGGGTACCATGGGCTGGCTTTCCCTCGTAATCCGCTCCTGGCAATGCGGCGACTTCGTGTAGAAATGACGATCAGGGGGCATCGAAACGAACTTGCTCTAGGGGTTTTATTCCTCCTTTGACTTGTTGGTGAGGACGTTTTAACTGTCTCCCGGCTGCGCTTATATCGTGAGCATGATGCAGGGTGTTTTCTCTCAGACGGAAAATAACCCACCACTCCGTCACAATGGTCCCAACCCGATGTCCACCCAGGGGCGGACGCAGGAATTTCCAGAGGGGGGGGGGGGGGGGGGGGTCAGGTGTTGGTCAGCGTACCATATGTTTAAACCCCCCTCCCCCGTTTCCACACCCTAAATTTTTACAGATGCAGAAATCAAGAGGGGGGTTCAGGACATCCGGACCCCCCCCCCCCCCCCCCTCTGAATCCGCCCCTGCGCCCACCTGGTCCTCAAAAAACATTTCTGGTTGCGAGTGTGCGGATATTTGACTGCTCACAGTGAAATATCCGTGAATGTCTGTCTCCTTTTCCTACATGTTTGTACCCTCTACTGTGTCGTCACACCTTCACCAGCATGTACCCTTGATCCTTTCGATTTCTTGACAGCGAATAATTTTGGAATTCACAAACAAGCTCACAGTGAAAATATATATTTTTTTACCAACCATATATATATATTTTTGTTACCATATGTTTGTTACCGCGGCGGTAACAAACATGTTTGTTACCGCGGCGGGCTAGCAGGCGCACATGCGTAAGGGTACTAACCTTTCTGTCTAGCCTTGCACGCCGCTGAGTGGGCAAACTTTCCCGTGCAAATAAAAATTATTATTATTATTATTATTATTATTATTATTATATATATGTTTAAAGATAGTTGGAGTGTTTTTATTGCTATGTGCCCCTAAGAAAACTACTTTACGGTAATAATCAATTCAACAAGTAGAATGTCTAAAATTTAACCCACTCCAAGTTTACGTGTATATTTTTTCTTCCTGTCAACAATTTTGGAAAAAAATAAAATCATAGGAGATATCGGTGGCAATCAGTTTATCGAACAGTGCTTCATTGACAGATTGTTTCATCGACACGCGATGTTTTATCGAGACATATAGTTCCATCAACAGCTCAGATTAAAGCTGTTGATGTCCCGCGTGAGCCTGGCGTGCCGGGTCCTGGACGGTTCTTTGACCGGCTCGTACCTCACCACAGTTGTGCGAGTTGGGAGGAGGATTGTAAAACCCGAAGAGCTGCGGGGGAGAACGATGCGCCACAGTTCTTCGACGCTCCCAGCAGCCATCAGAGAGTTTTTCGAGACTCCCTCTGAATGTGCGGAGCCCTCTGCTGACCAACAGAACTGAATCAAAGGAGATGTCAAAGATGTATGGGGCCACATTGGCATCCTCATGATCAACACTACCTCTCTCTCTTCCCCCCCCCCCCCCCTCCCTTCCTTTCCGCAGTGGTCAGATTTAGTTATTATTCAGTCTGTTAAGTTATTGTTTTGTTCCCGCAGGTGGTGGTGGGCTGACAGGCGCTCTGCGTAAGGGTTTTCACCTATATCTGTTCAGCCCCGCACACCGCCACCTGCGCCCTTGAAAGTGCAAATAAAATTTTTATTATTATTATTATTATTAGACATTTTCTGAAATAAGCTGCATGAGACAAGCGGCGTGTATCGGTCGGTCAGGAGGGTTAATATTTTTTTATTAGGCCGCCGCAGACTGTCGCCGCGAAGTGGCGTGAACACAGGCGGGAGGCTGGGTTAACGCGCACCCCAGTGAAACACGCGTGACGAAATGCCCCTACAGCATACAATGGACTACTTCCAAAACCGACGCGCCCCACCGCGGCGAAATACCACGCAGTGCACTCTGGGAACTAGTTGGCCACTCAGTTTCGGTTTCGACTGAGCAGCTTCATCTCATGCTATCACGCCGCGACCGAACGCGCTGCTTGCGTTTTCGATTATCTGACTTTTCACGAACGTACAATACACTCATTCTCGAGCGATACAAAACGAAGACCGGGGCATTTCCTTGGTTCCCGAAACACCGGATTTTGTGCGTGCGTATGCGAACGTAGTAAGACGTGGCTTAGTCACCTCACCCCACGAGTGCATGTTTGAGCTCAATTTCAATAATCCCGTCTAGTACCACTGGACTAGAACTGAAATTTGTCCATCTGGAGCCTTATACGTATTTTGTTTGCCAAACGTCCGTTTCTTGTTACTTCATTGGGCGAAAAGAAAGCCGCATCCTCACAGGGTATCAAAGTTGAGCCCAGCGTTTACGCATGAACTTTTAAGGAAACGCAATAAATTCGACCTCACTACTGTACAAAAGTTACTATGATGTCTTCCTCGTGTCATCATATATCTCCCACTCGAATTTTATGCTAGTAGAAGATTAACTTCTCGCAAACGCTGAGATCGGCTAGCTACGACGGAGGCCCTAACAAGCGTCCCCTACTCCTCGCTAAGCCTTTTTGGACGAGCTTTTACTGACGCCCAAGATCTGCGCCTGAACGGTGTGTCTGAAATTATCTCGGCATACTCAGGCAGGAAAAAAACAAACACAAAACAAATATTATGGCCATTACAACCGTCAAACGCGCTTTGAATTCGTTCGAGCACTTGTGTGAAGAATGTAGCACCGCGGGCCGGACGGGTGCGCATGGGGGTCCAAGCCCGTCCGGCGCACTTCCGGGGAACGGTGCGACATTCTTCACACAAGTGCTCGACTTTTGCTTTTTCAAAACGGTCTGTATGTGCGAATTTGCCTATATGATTGCAGGATAACTTTATGTGCATACGCGATGTTGAATATTAATGGAATGCGAGCGGGTGGGGACTTCACTTCGTGCAGTGCTGCGGGTCAGTACAGATAAGAGATAAGAAGTGTGTCAAAATTGAGCTTTTCAATGGCGCCTCCGAGTTTTACCTCGCATACTCAGGCATATTATGAGATACAGTAATTGCAAAAAGTAATATTTCGTCTATGGACGCACGAAACAAACAAACTTCCTGATCAACAACACTAATGTAAAGGCGCGAGCTCGATGTATGCATACCTATTGGTTGCTACAGCTTGTTGAATCGTACACAAGCAAGATCCCCGAGCTTCGCAGCCTCGAGATTCCCAGCACTGGCTCGTCCACATACCTCAATTGGAACGCTAAGAGGAAGGCTCAAGTACAAAAATACAACAAGCATGTGTTAAGACAAGCTATACGTCTCAGGCTTGTGCTAAAGCTTTGAGGCCTGGCCATTTAGGTTAGTTTAGAGACCACAAATGACGCTCTCGGGACCAGAAAACCATCTCTTGTCGACGTGTCGATCGAAACCGAAACCATGCCACCCTCCTCCCTGGCCAACTAGTTCCCAGAGTGCAACGCGAGCCGTGTTGCATGCAGGGCTTTATGGAAGTAGTCTATTCGCGTAACGAGTGCCGAAGAAACGTGCCATGAAAGTTGTCAACGACGATTTTTCTATCGTTTCGACGAAACGATAGAGACCTGAAAGATATCACTTGAGTGACTTTCATCACACACAGCTGAGATCTCTTCCGAAACTTTCGCGAAGTCGGCGCGGCAGGTGACGGATAATTTATTTTGAGCCGTTGCCAGAAACAAAATTACTCCGTGCGAGCGAATGACCGTTCAAGCGGAGATGATTTTTCACGCGACAAGGCCGCACGACATGTGCGAGATAAAGCACGGGGAAGTGCGAGATAAAGCACGGGGAACCAGCAATCGAGTGTTTGTGATATCACCGTCACAACACCTCGAGCCACGGATTACGAAAGCCGCTTTATCCACTTATCGCCGCAATTTCTTCAGCTACATTCCACAGCACCGCGCTGGTCTGCGTGACAGAATGCCGTCAACAAGGAATGACCATGACTGCAATGGTGATCGACTAAAAACAAACGTGGTGATCGATTAAACACAAACTACGTTACTTGGACCACTGCTTGTGACCAAACATCCAGCGTCGTAAAACCATACGAAACCGTAACTTAATTATGAAATTGTCTGGACAGCTAACCCATAACAAACAGCATTTAAGCTCATCTATGAGCAAATTCAGGACGCTCATAAATGACCAGTGAAAACCTCGGAAGTTTCCGATAGCAAATGTTTTCTTCTCTTTTTCTTCAAGATACGTTGTGATAACGGCCCTCAAACGCATTTTCTTTGTTTCTGACTAGATGAAGACTGCGAGCTTTAAAAGCTGGTTTTAACAGCTTAAAAATAAGCCCAATTTTCCATAGCCGCACTCAAGGAGTTCCCCACTTGACGAAAACAAAGGCCTTCAGAGCGCAATGCCACTCACGATTGCTTTGCTGTAGCATGATATGGCGTCTTCGTACTTGCGGGCGCTGAAGAATTTATTCCCAAGGTCCTTTAGTTCCGTAGCGCTCATGTCTTGTTTCATCGTCGGCGGACGCTCAAGAGCAGACACGGGGGCAGTACAAGCTCGCGAATATTACCGACGTCAAAATTTCCTTCGCCAGCTTGCGGCAGCCATTTGTTGTTTAATGTGATGCTAGGCCTGCCTTGCGTTAACTTCTTAGAGCTGGCAGCATAGTGCGGGGTAGGGGGCGCCACAAACAACTCAGATTGTCTTTTTTTTTTTTTTGTTTTTTGCGGGAAGTTAATTTTCTTGCAATGACAACCTCGTTGGGGAAGCTCCTCCGACGACTTTCTACTTTAGCGAGGCATCCTCCTCTCCAGCATTAGCTGTTAAACTTAAAAACCACTAATAAAAGGCACTACGTCCTTTGCTTAGCAAAAAATAAAATATATATTGTTAAATCTTACTTGAAACATAAGCGGAAACCAAAACTTTGGCTCTGCTGGGCAACATTGGCCTCGGGCCGCCAATAACATGGCTATCACGTGGTACATTATATCACGTGATCCTTTACGCAACGATGGGAGGGATTAGGGCCAGCTGGTGAACCACCGTTGGGGCGGGCGTGTACAAGGCGCAAGTGTCGTCTGCAAAGCATTCATCACCACGTTTTGGTGTCTTTAACATTCGACAACATCTGCACAAGTGCGGCATCGGTCTGCGCTCGTAGTGTGAACAAAACTCCGAGATACAATAATCACAACGATGTGACGACGACGGCGGTGACGTTGGAGACAGCAGTAACGGCGGGGCAACCAAACGGGTCACAGGTGCGTTACGCCAGTCACGTGGACACCGCCGAGTGCCGAGAGGAAACGTTGCCGACATTACCCGTTATGCTTGCCTGGAGAAGTAAAAACAAACAAAAAGGGGCAATGATGATGTCTAGCTCAATCTCAGCTATGCCCACGCCATAGCCTTGACTGCGCTGTTGGTTGCGTCTCAATTCGCCCACTAGAGTCGGTTGATTTTGGCAACTTGGTGCATTGCAAAGTGTGCCGTATTGTTTAAGAAACCGACAGAACCGAGTTGCAATATTCGACTTGTGGTCTTCTTGGGCAATACTGAAGAGGACTGCGCTATTTTTTCAAGAACAAAATTGAAGCGGAGTTGCCCTTTAAAGGAACACAGAACACCCCTGCCCCCCCACACCCCAAACATTTTTTTTATTTTTTGCCAGGCAGTTTATATTATGGTGTCAGAAGACTACCCAATCAATATTTTGCTATAGCATCACATATTTTGATAAAATAGAAAAAAATGCAACTGCTCGGAGTAAGAACTATAGAGGTGGAGAAAGTTGGAAAAAATCACATGGTTGTGCAACTTTTTTTTTACAGCGGCGCTGTTAAGGGCTAGTTTCCCCAGGATCCTGTCCCCCGCAAAGAAATATCGACACCGAACTCTGGACACCTACCGCCATCGATGAGCGACGGCTGCAAGCCATGCATCTGGTTGCCGCCGTCGCTCATAGATGGCAGGAGCCTTTCCACTCTTGCTTGCTGACTCGCAGCCGGCCATTACTTTTCATTGTACAGCTCCGCTGGTCCTCCTTCTTCACCAGAGTGGGAAGGCTGAAAGTTTTTTTCTTTTTTTCAATCGACGCATTTGCAGCTTTTTAGATGCTACAAAAAATTAGCATCATATTCTCTTTCTGTTTTTAATACCGAGTGTGTGCCTTCAATGACCCTCGACTATGATTGCATTTGGTGGTTGTTTCTAAACCATAGAGTATGGCATGTGACCACGGAGAAGAGATTGAGTGCGACTCAAACAGGCCAGTTATCAATCGGCGATTTTTGGACGAAAAAAAAAAAAAAGAATTTCGAGTAGTTGTGCTTTTGTATGTCATGTACAAATAAGAACCTTGGTAAGCATAAATTCCCTGTCGGTGTCTCTTTAAAGTGGAAAAAGGAGCTAACCCTGAACTGGGGGACAGGCGGGACAGAGGAAAATAGACCAATCCCACCATAACTTTAGTTCACAGGAAGCAGCCCGCAGTGTAACGAAACAGCTCGTGCAGTCTCGTGCTCTGTACATGCAGAGCTCCAGCGAGGTTGTCGCACGTGCAGAAAGACTGTAAAGCTCCGTCGATGCATTGCGGTAGCGGTAGCGTAGCCAGACTGGCTGGAGATCAGTCTATTGGCACTTCCTCCCACGTGGCTCTGGGCCAAAATCTCAATGCTGTCCCCCGTGGGCGACACCGATAAGGTTTGATCAGAAGAAAATTGGCGACTCCCGTGAGGGAGGAGACGGGGGCAACGTTTTTAGTTCTTTTTGCCCAATCCCCCAAAGGTCACCCTGGCAATCAACCCCCCTCCCTCCAGCCTAGTGGCTTAAAGACCGACCGGCACTTAAAGGCCGATTTGAGGAATCGTCTTCTGCTGGGCAGGAAAACAAGTCCCCAGTATCCTTCTCTCAATTCCCTCTCGCGCTCTTTTCTCCTCCTCTGCACAGAAGCGTATCTCTGAGCTACTCCCTGCAGAAGGGAGGAGGATGTCTCCCTCTTTCCCGTACAGAAAGGAGGAATTGAGGGAGTTTCCTCCTTTCTGCTTGTTGATCAACCTTTGAAGAGGAACGGAATTTTTTTTTTGTTTTTGAGGTTTTTAGGCTACATGCTGCAAGCTACCGCCCGTTATAATAATAAAAAAAAGTTTGTCGTGTTTTGTGCTGTATATCTGGCATCAATGTAGATTCATGGCGGGCACCAACATTCGCCGTATAAAGCATCTGCAATTCCAGGAATGCATGTAGCAGTTGTTGAAGCACGGTGCCTCAAACATGCTTCGGACTGGTGCATTTATCAGATTTTAATTTCGTTTCCTTGATTTCCGGCCGATGACTTCACAACCGTGTCATGCTGCCGTCTGCCACAACCCTGGCAGCGTTACAGCAGCCAGTCAGTCGACGGAAACTTCAACAGCCGTGGGTTGGGGATGCCTTAACAAAAGCTACGCTCACATTCACTTGCCTAGTTTTTCGCTCCTTCTATACACCCAGCCACCACAACCGTGACAATGGGCAACATTACGAAACGGCTCTTGTAAAATATATCGATTTTACATTGGGGAGGCTTCAATACAGGGGAAGTGAGGACGCTATTTAGTGTATATATACACAAAGCTTTTTTTGGGGTTCTCAGTCTTCGGTAAACCCCAAAAAGTAGCCTTCAACCTGGTCTTATGAAAAATGGAGAAGACTGAAAGACCTTGAAAACATATCCCCAAATTAAAAAAAAAAGTTAGCCCCCCCAAAAAAAACCCTAGCTATTTTGTAGCTTGTGAGTGTCGTCGTCAGGTAAATAATTTATATTTTCTGGCAAGCTCATAAAACCTTTAATTAGTTTTACAGCAAACCACAGTGAATCGATTGAGATGCATCTAATAGAAGGGAAAGGGCAAACATGTTGGGGAAACCCCGAAAAACACAACAATTTATTGGCTAACACTGTACAGAGAAACTATTCGTTTTCACAAAACAAACTGACTCGGGAGTAATATATACTGCCACCACAGTACCCAACTAAACATCACAACTTGTTGACCGAGATGTTTATTAGAAACATCCAACATAAGAAAATAATTGCTCATTTCTTCCAACTTAACACACCTAGTGTGTTACAAAGTACCAAACATAAATGAGGTTGCGATGGTACACTAATGGCAAAATATAGAGTATCGTGCTGTCAAAATTTATGTTACCGAAAATTCACGCTACCAATGTGCCACTTTTCATGCATGCTGCCAATTTTTTTTTTTTATCAACCCAGAAAATGGCTGGTCAAGAAGCTCCTCTTTTAGTACAGAGCACTCACAATCGCACCATTCTACCCGAGCCGCAACATAGTTCACACTATGTACTATATTGGCGAAAAAGCTGCAAGATAGAAATATCTAGTGCACATGGAAAAGGACGGTTATATGTACATATACATTCTAGAACGATGTCAAGGCACGAAAACCCCAAAAGCACTAAGTGCACTCGAATACAACTATAAAAGAAATCTATGTCAGAGTCCTCCAAAATTCCCAATGCACTTAAAAAAAAAGAAATAAAATGCAACAAATGACATCATTTGGGCACACTTTTCTACGAAACAACCCGCGCAGTGAAGTCACAATGCCATACTCTGTTTCCCTTCACGGTGTACAGCAGCGAAGGTTTGATCTTCGCTTCGAAACGAACCGTTGCATTCATATTTTCTAAGTGCCGGCAAAGTGATGGTCGCGGCAGGTTGGTTAGCTTCCTCGAGTGAAACAAAGTGTAGCCTCGGTAATAAACCGTACAGACAAACCCAGCCAGCTTTTATTGCCATGCTAAGCCTACCCGCACGTCCAGTACCTCGGTAGCATAGCGACGTCGTATCGGCGGGCCGCGGCTCGACGACCAAGAACCGATCTAATCTGTGCTGGGCGTTTCTTGAGATAGAGGGAGGGAGGTTAGGAGAAGGAGAGAGAGAGAGAGTGTAGAGGAGGAGAAAGACCCAAATCAGGAGCGCGCAATCTTAAGCATCTGCTCAATCGAAAGCAGCTTCTCACTGGGCTTGCCTCTTCGGCTGCCTTCCGTCCGCTCCCACTCGTCAATCTTGAGCCACTGGTCGAACGTCACGGGCGTCACGTCTGCGAGAGAAAGTAGACGACGGGGTTTTCGCAAATTCGCCGTGGTTTTTCTTTGCTACTTACAGGTAGACACGTCGGTGCAAACTTGCACAATTCAGACTTATGTCCAGAACAGTAAAAGGGACCCGTAAAAAGTAATGAAGTTAAGGTGACGTGAGCTAAATCAGAACCAAATTACAATTGCAGTTGAACTAAAATGTAATTAAATTATCACTTCAGAGTCCATCTTACGAATGCACACCAGACCAGTCTCCTCGGCCAGCTGTCCTGTGCAGTGGTGCCTGCTTTCTGTGAACTACAGTTTTTGCAGTGTTACATATACATAGAATGCTTAGTGAGATTGGTCTATTTAGATAAAAAAGCGATCACCAGTATTTGCTGTTCCTCTGACTCAAGAAAAAAATCGTTGTGGCAATTCCCAAATAAAGCACATGCGTCGCTCCGTGCACGCTTGAAAGAGGCGTGCGCTGCCGAATTGCTGTGTTGCCTCGGGTCCAGCCCCGATTTCGGCCCTGAGCGAGTGGCCCCCCCTGCTCGGGCTGTTTTGCTGAGCACTACGTCATGAATCAGTTCTTCAGCTGCCACCAGGGTAGCACTCCCATGAAACAAGACAGAGTTTGCGTATTCCCTATAAGTTTGGTGAGCACTGTACCAGCTCGGTCTGGAACAAGCACAGATGCACAGGAGGCTGTTGCCTTTTGGTAGTCATATGCAATAGTGGATTTTAAGTTTGGAGCGAATTCAAAGCGAATAGAGGTTTTGGCCAAATAGTTTCTAATCAAACAGTTTCTCTAAGCCTTTCACTACTGCACCATACTTAAACGAAAAGCCAGCTGGACTCATGAAGGTTGATCCAAAGCTTCCACCTGTCCATTTCTAAGTTAAGTTAATGTGGCTTCAAAAAGTCCAATGCCTACATTGGGATGGCAAGCAAATGACACATTTGACACGAAAATTAACCCGCCTTTTGGTGCAAATTTTCTCAATCTTTTCTTATATCCTCGCTTGCGCTTTTGAGGTGTGTCACAAAGCTGCCTTTCTTTTTCCTTTTTTTTTTTTTTTTACGAGCCCTTATTTTTGCATTTGTAGCCGTGGACCGGACGTCTCTGGTTAGACAGTGGCCACCTGCGAGCCGGACGGAGCGCATCCGCGAGCCGGGGTTTCGAGACCCCTGCTCTAGATAGAGAAGTGACTCGGCACTATACAGTCTTTTCACATGAAACAAACAAATAATAAATAAAAATATTCTGGGTTTTCTTTAACGCGTAGACATTTTAACGAGTAATATCACGGATTTGCATCATATGATGTGAAAAATGGCAAAAATTTGTAACCAAGCAGTTCCGACCGAGCGTGCTAACCAAAAGGGAACCACATGCAAGCCCATTCATATAAAACAAAGTGTCACGCGTCTAAACATTATTATGCAGAAAAAAAAAAAAAAATTACTTGTGCTTGTTAATCTTTAGTAGTATGCTTCGAAATGCAACTAAATCTGTTAAAACTGCACTGCATTAGGAACGTCGGTAAAATTGGTGCGAAACCTGTGAAGCAATGCCGCAGAGCAGAAACCTGGACTGGATTGTGATGACCAAACCCCACTGGATTCCCACAGTTGCCAGACAAAAACGAAAACTCTTCCAAAAACCAATTCGCTCGCACATTTGTTTGCTTTGGGGTAGTTTGGCGCAATTTTTCCCATTGGGCGCAGCACGGCGCAGGCAAGCGTGAATTTATCAAAATGGCACAACTAAACCACCCCTGCTCTTTTGGACCAGGTTACGCAGTGCCGTCCCCATCCTCTTCCGAACGTGGTTCAGGCATTCTTTCTTGACGATGTAAAATATTCTGTAAATATTCTCTTCCACCAAGGCTGAGTATCTCTGGGTGGAAAAGGAATTCAGCTCCGAAACGAGACAAACATGGCGGCTGTCGGCCAAAATGAATGGGAGCGTGGATCGCGTGAAGGTGGGCTTGATTTTGCGTTTTGACCACCATTTGGAAGCTATTGTGGACTCATAATTAATTTCTTAAACACATTTTTTTGATGAATTAGGGGCTGGCAATGAAGAGGGAGATAGTTTATGGAATAAACAACCAAAATATGTAATTTTCTTGAACACAATTTTTTGGCGATTTTTCGTTTTTTAAGGCCAGAATCTCCCCTTAAATCTGAAACTTGAGGGGAAAAAAAAAAGACAATCATTAATGATGAATGCAGGATGTCAGGAAATCTCTGCCTAACATATACCCTCACATAACAGCCACAGTTTAATTTTGAACTTCTACTGTTGTGTAGATTCACATTCCCAATATTTTCCTTTTTCTTTATATACACCAGGTTTGCACACGCACTATACCGCATTGAAAGTCTGCTTCCCTCCTAAGCATATGACCACAATATTTGTACTTTTTGAAGTGTCGATAGCAGCGGTTTAGCCCTGTTGAGTGCGCTTCTCACCGAGCCCCGGTGCATAGTGGGGAAGCAACACCCACGGAGCTTGCTTTTGCCAGAGCCATGTATAGAGAGAGCTTGGTCAATGGGAGGCGCGGGCAGAGCCAGGGCGTGTACCAGACGTAAAAAGAGGGCTTGACATGCTCTCTTGGCCAACCAGAGGCCGAAAAGAATCCCCTAGCGGTGGTAGCGAGATTTAACCATAGGTATATATAATATAATATAATAATAATAACTTTATTTTCCAAATGAATTGGAGGGGCAGAAGGGAAAAAGCCTCCAATGGAGGCTTGACGAGCCCGAAGCCCCATACGGTGACAGGCGCAGCAACACAAAAAAAAGAAGAAGAAAAAAAAAAAAAAAAAGCGCACACACGCATATACACAAGAAAGACAAAAAAACTTCATCAGAATTATTATAAACACTACAGAGTAGACACTGTTGTAGCCCTAAAAATAATATTATACAGTTCAAACAAACAAGTAGATAATAGGTAACATAGTAGGCATAGATGAAGAATCACAATCAATGGTCTTAATAAGCGCGTAAGGGTTAAATGTAGTAACGTAACCCTTCATGGTTGAACTTAAGATAATAGTAATAATAATAATAGGAGTTTATTTTCCAACAAACTACAGGTTGGAGGGCGGCTTGGAAAAAAAGCTGTTAGCACAGCTTGATTGGTCCCAAGCCCCCACGACATCAGCAGCAACAGAACAGTTAAAAAAAAAAAAAACTTTATGGTTGAAAATAGGGTGCACGTGATGTTTCGATAATGATCATGCAGAAAGCTGCAAGAAATGAATGTGCCGCTCAACTCTGTTGCTCGGACAGCGTGTGACCGCTCGGATGGCACATTCAAGCCCCTCGTTGCCTGGCGTACAGATTATGTCGATCGTTTCGCTAGTTGCACTCTTCCACCATGATTTTGGATGACTGTGATTGGAACATCACGTGCATCATATTTTCAGTCACCGAGAGTTACGCTGACGTGCTTATTAATTTCGTTTCTGGCGATCACCGCCAGAGTATTATTTCTGGCTTCTGGTTGGCCACATTCAAATTTTGTGAAGACGCCCTGGAACATGCCCAGCCCTCCTTAGGCCAATGGCATCTCTTGATTTGTCTTTTATACTTCCCAATGAATGTATATACAGCTCTGGCTTTTGCAGGTGTTGCTTTTCTGCATTGCAACCGTGTTCGGTACGAAGTGCACTCGACAGAACTAACTTACCACGATTGACACTTAAAAAAAATAGGAATACTGCAGTTCAACTTGAAGAAAATATTGAATCGCCTATTTTTCGAAACTACACTAGAAAATTCAAATATAATCAAACAGCCCTTTTTTTTGGCGTCCCTTTTAAACAGGTTGTCCGCAGACCGACGTTGCTAGGTAGAGGTCAGTTCACGAGCTTCCTCGACCATCTAGAGACTTTTCGTGGCGCGCATGCTCGGCGATGTTCGCTACGCGATCGTCCCAGCCCTTAAGGACAGGAGCCGCGGAACCCAAGGAACGTCGGATGCACAACGCCTGCGGTAGAATGTGATTCTACCGAGGTTTTCTAAGGCAAAAAAAAAACACCATCTGCGCAAAAAGAGTGTCGCTCGAAAGCGGTCCGCCCCTGCTGTCCATGGGAGCGGCACCGGGGTCGCTACCCGTTGGCGCCCGCTCACATGTGGACAACAGAGAAGAACCGTTTTCGGACGGTGCCCTTCTGCGTAGCCCGTTGACCGACAGATTTGAGAACGTTGCTGCGGACTGACGACCGCCCACGGCTCACCGTTGGACTCGAGAAGCTGCAGGATGGTGGCAGAACCGCCCCGGTCGTCGGAGGTCGGCAGGAGCCCCGACTCGGCATCCTTGACCAGCGCCTGGCCCGTCTCGAAGCTGCTGTTCATGGTGGCAACCAGCACCCCAACGGGCCCGGTCTTGACCCAGCCGCTGCAGTACACGCCTTCAAAAAGAGAATGGAATCCGTGAGATTCACCTCGCGTTGTTAACCCTAGAGCCAGTACATGTAAACTACGCTCAGAGTACCGACACTCCGTTCTCCGATTGTCCTGCGGCTGCGCCATTCTGTAGCCTAGTGTGAAGCAGATGTAACCGACTACGGTGTAAACTCGTTACGACAGACCTCAATGGCGATCGAAGATTTTGGTCCGTCCTGAAAGGACTATGCGGAACGCAAGATGCTCTTACTAGAAACTTTGACGTGGATTACGACGGCGGTCCGTTCTAACCGGCGAAACGTGAATGGATACTATTAAGAGAGCACTGGTTTGTTGAGACGTCCGGACTTTGAAAAGCAGCAATTTTTCTTTGAGCCGTGCTAATGATTGTCATCACCGCACGCTTTGGGTCATCTCGCGAGGCAGAGCACAAGGAGAGCAGTTTGAAAAATGGATGCCACTGCCACCGAACCAAAGCTGCATAATGTTCGAAATAAGGACTGCTTACAAACTCCCTAACATCCAGAATGTATTCCAAGCTGGTTCAATGGCATGAATAGGAAGACCAAAAAAAAACTCTTATAAATCAATATGTTATAACTAAAATTCCACGTTTCCGGAGGACATTTCTCGTTAAATTCGGAGGGTACGTTAAACCGAGTATATTTTTCGTTGAAAATTTGGGGTTTATCAGAGTTTATTTTTAATAGATTCCCAATTCTTTTTGAAATTCAAAGTTTATTTTACTGTGTTCTTATATTTAAAAAAATTCAAAAACGAAATAGACGAGGTCCAGATACCACGACGCATTGTCCCAAAGAAACCTTGACGTGCTAAAAGGCAAGCCCCTTTTGTCAGTACTCAAAGATTTCAAAGGAAACTGAAGTGGCATCTCCCCAGGACCACTGATCCTGTGCTCTTATAAACATTATTTGTAAAACACTGTCTTTTTTGCTTTTTATTTTGTAGTTGCGGCCTCGAAATTCAAAGTTTTTCGTATAAATCCGAATTGCCAGAAAGTTTACTGTTGAGACCGGTTGTAACGAAGTCGGTTATAACGAAATGGCGGCTACAGCGAAGCGATCCCGATTTCCCATTCCCTTTTGCACTTTGTTATAACCGAAGTCGGTTATAACGAAATAGCGGATATAGCAAAGTGATTTCCGATTCCAGTTGACTTCGTTATAACCGGTCTCAACAGTACCGGCAAGTGTTTTTCGAATTTAAAAAAAAATTAATTTGAAAACACGGAAGCCTAGTTATAACCGAATGGCTTCTGTAACCAGGTCTGTTGTAACGAGATTATACTGTAGAGAGATACGAATAAAGAACGAGACTTCTTCAGGTTTAAGCTTGGCATTGGGAAACTCCAGACATTTTTTTTTGCCCACTCGCGGAACTGTTTTCAACGTATATGGAGGACAGAAGAGTCGGACAGTCCCCAATCAAGTTTCTCGTACAGGTTCGCAACAAGAAAACCAACCAAATAAAATCCACGCCAGACTACTGACACAGAGGCAAGGGACTTTGCAGAGACTGGGAGCCACGAATGTCTCAATCCCCAAGACTACAGTTGAACCCGCATATATTGGACTCGCAGGGGATCCTGAAACGCTTCGACATGTTGCTAATTCGGTATACAAAAGTATGTCGACTCGAGCTCCAGTTTAACTTTCTGCGTGTCTCCGCTAATGTTGACGACGGTTGTGATGGACGGAAGCTTATCAAATAGAGCGTCCAAAAACCGCCAAACATGCTGGTCCCAGTTCAAGTGGTCTATTTCCCACATTCCGAGCTGCAACTGAGATCCATCTGGTCCCAGTTCGACTTGCAAAACCTTGTTAAGGGGGGACACTACCCAGAAAAAACAATTTTTGAAAAAAAAAAGTTGACTGACAAGCGTCATATTTACATCCACCAACATCCAGAGAGTATTCCCAGAAAATTTCGTTAGTTTACACTGCATAGGTTATTTTTCATAATTTTTTTCGGTCCACCAATGCTAAAAAAAAGGTCGAGGTTGGAGCACTTTGAATGCATTTTTGTCCATTCCAGTTTTCAGCAGAACTTTTACTTTAGAAAAACTATCGTTTTGTTATTACGTAACTTGGATTCACTTTTAGGAGTCTTTCTGGGGTAAAATTTTAAGGGGAAGATAATTATGAGCTTGTATTTTTTTATTTTTGTCATTTTTCATGCTCAAGAACTAAACTTTTGGACAAAGGATGGAAATCTAAAAACACAGTAATTGTGTTTCTCTGGCTTTTCTGTCATGAAAGATGGTATAATATAGAAATATAGCTCCACAGTTATCTGCTCTGAACCGTCCTAAAGCAATATAGCACATGAAAATGACAAATTTACAAGGAATTTCAAAACGATAGTTTTCCTACACAGATACGGCCACTTTCATCTTTGAACAATTGCAATTTGTTTTGTACATCACCCAGGTTAACAAAATTAGGCAGAAATGTTCTCAATACAAGCCTTGTAAATCTAATTTAAATCAAACAAGCGGTTCAAACATCCACTTTTTTGGGTAGTGCCCTCCCTTAAAGCGTAGCTGGCAAAAACCGCAGAGTGTCGCCGCACTTATGCAGGTACGTGGCCATGGCCTCGACCACCAGCACGGGCAAACAAACAAACAAAACAGCAAAGCAAAAACAGCGAAAGAAAAGGTAAACAAAGATAAACAAGCTGTTAAAAGCACTACAGTGGAATCTCACTAATTCAAACTCGCAGATAATTCAAACTAACGTGCAGGTCCCGTTCTACGTGTTTCTAAGAAGGAAACTCCCAGCAATTCAAACTTTGCATTATTCAAAGTTTTGGTCCCCCTCGGGTTCAATTTAACGAGATTCCACTGTATCAGCACCGAGCGGGACTGATTGGAGCACTGCGATCGCTCAATGGTGGCACAGTGACCAGTATCACGTGACAGGGCCGTGAATTTTCTCCGCTTCGCTTTGGTTGTGTGATTAAGTGCGTAGCGGCACAAACTGTCCGCTAAGTAAAATTTGTTTGTTTTTTCACGCAAAAGGCGGGTAGGACAAGACCTAAAAACACAACCGAGCACGCCGAGCGAAACGATTGGAAGTTGCGTGTAGGTTACGATGGAATCCTGTGATAGCATTGGGGCTGCCAACAATGCTCGGACACTTCGCTGCGGAGACAAACGAGCATAAATCTACATGCACTTACCAGGGCTCTCGATTCGTGGATTCTGGAAGCAACAACAATCCCACCGACTTGAGCATCCGCTCAATTTGGTGGGAACGTCTTTGCTAAATAAACATGTTCGTGATACCCTTTCTTTCTTTTTAGGTGGAGTCATTTTGTACCAATTAATAGTTTGAACCTTGACCTAGACCTTCCAGTCAGAAGGCGAGTTTTATCTCTTCGTCGTCTCCGTAATTTTTTAAGTGTCGTGCGGTGGTGGCAAACGCTCTCCTCGCAGGACGTGAAGATAAATTACGACGAATAATCGTGTTCAAATAAGTGAACAGCTTCATCTGTCGTGATGCGTTTACGCTACCACAGACATGGTACGCCGCCAACGACGTACGGCGTTTCGGCGCTGACTGCTGGCGGTAGCTGCCGCGAGCCGCGCACAGTTGCAACAAGAAAGCGCAAGATCTGTACCGAGGGTTCCCGAAATTCCCCGCAGTCATGGCGCTTTTTGTATTGCAACAGGTCTATTAGAGCTGCAGCAGACTAGAAAATTCAGCAGTCCCACGTGAATCCACAGTATACAGCCCCGCTATATCTGCGACACGTTATCAAGCCATAATGTGTCCTTATGTAGAGCTCGTGCTCGCGAGAATGACATTCCTTGGCGTCGTTCTCGCGAGCATGCATGTCACCGTCCTACTGGCGACGACGGCGAGCATACGTTCGCGATGCTTTCTGCTCTTCGGTCCGACACTCCAGCGCCAAGTCTTCAGATACAGACGGCGCGTTACGTCGAGCGGCTGTTGCCAACGTCTGCTCGGAGAGTTACGCACTAATTTATTCGATAAGCACTCTCCTGAGGACGCGGTGGGAAACTCGGGTGGTGTGACGAGACGCTACTGCCATCTAGCGAGCGCTGCGCGTGATTCGTACGCGCAGGTGTTCTCGGCACAGATGGCACGTCGCAGCAGCAAGCGTCGCTTTGTAGTGGCGCGCTCGGCAGAGCTAGGATGGAATCCTGGCGGTGGCAGCGGGTTATGCGGAGCGCAAGTTCGTCCGCTTCTTGTGCAGGGATTGCACCAACGTCAGAACGCAGAGCTTTGATTGGCTCTGATGAAGAGATAATGCGTAGACCTCAATGATAGCTACCTCGAATTGTACCCATTATCCTTCCAACTGGAACCAATCGGAGCTCGGCGTTGTGACATAACTGCAACCCCTGCTTACGAAGCAGACAAACTTGCGCTTCACGTAGGAATATTTTAGAGCGCAGCTCTTAGGGGCCCGTTCCCGGCTTGAGCGGCGTCGGCGTCGGTGTCGGCGTAACCAAGGTCATCCCAAGGTCACGTGACCCCTCCCAAGGTCATCTCAAGATCACGTGACCCCAAGATGACCCCACGTGACCCTGAAGGTCACGTGAACCCCAAGGTCACGTGACCCCCAAGTCACGTGACCCCTCTGAGGTCACGTGGTCTCCTCCCCAAGGTCACGTGACCCCCGAGGTCACGTGACCCCCGAAATCACGTGACCCCCAAGGTCACGTGACCCCTCCCAAGGTCATCTCAAGGTCACGTGACCCCAAGGTGAACCCCACGTGACCCCTCTGAGGTCACGTGACCCCCCGAGGTCACGTAACCCCTCCAGCTCACGCGACCCCCAAGGTCACGTGACCCCCTGAGGTCACGTGGGGGTCACGTGACCTTGAGGTGACCTCCATGTGACATTCAAGGTCACGTGACCCCCAGGTCACGCCTCCCCAGGTCACGTGACCCCCTCCCCGAAGTCACGTGACACCCCCCCTCCCCCCGAGGTCACGTGACCCCCCCCCCCCGGAGCATATCAAAGAATGAGGGGAGGAGGAGGAGAAGGAGGAGGGGTCAACCCTCCCCTCAGTACCCTTCAATCCTCCTCCTCAAGAGCTGCGCTCCAATTCGGCGTTACAGGGAGTTGTAAACGGCTTTCACTTTTTTTTCAAGCATTGGCGATGCCGACGACGGACGTCCTACAGTGCCCTACACCATTTTGAGTGGAGGGAAGAAGCAATAACAGCTATCACCGTAGAAAGAAAAGGACAGAAAAACATGGCAGACCCACCGGGAAGCGACTCGACCCGTCCTTCCGTGTTGGGGATGATGCCTCTAGCGGCGTCGAAGGGAATGTCCGGGTCCACCATCTCGGTGCTGTAGCCGATGCTCCTCAGCGCCTGTCGCATCCAAATGAGAAAGCACCGTATTTTGTGGCATACAAGTCCTGCTTTTTTTTCAACAAAATTTTCGCTGGCGTGTTGGGTGCAAGTTTCGTTTCTTCCAGTATCAGTGATGTGATCGGCCTAAGCCATTTTGGAGCACCTTTTGGAGCAGCCAAAACAGTGTTTTAGAGCAGCAAATGTGGCCTTTGGAGCCGCCAAAACAGTTTTTCGGAGCAGATTGGAGCATATATTTTTAGAAAAATAAATATTTGTTTTAAGTGCTGGACAAAGGAAGGGCACTTTGTGTTGTGACGTGTTGGGGCGGAACTCGCTGCTCGTGTTTTTGCAGCTAAGACATCCCACAACTGTTAAACAGTGCCGTAAGCGTTGCCAAGCAATTCCGAAAAAAAACAAAACAAACACCGTCTATCGTTTTACTGGTTCCCGACGTGGCAGATTTTTATAAAAAGTAAGCAAACGTAAAACAATGGATTTCAAGCGTCCTGGCTGGTGCCTCTCGTGCAATCATGTTCACATGCACGTGAGGGCAACTTCGGCAGGCTTGCAGTTACACGTATTTCGTCGCGCGAGCGGAGACAAGGCTGTTCGACCGAAACCGAAACCATGCCACTCTGCTCCGTCGCAAACTGGTTCCCAAAATAGTATGCAAAATGCAACTGTCCAGCATACGACAATAAACAGTCCAATGGCGCTTGCTTGCCAGGCCGGCAGGCGAGGTACAGGCTAAACACACAGAAAAAAAGAACCTGAGCGTATTGATGCAATCCATTGCGAATACGGGTCAAAAAGTTCCTGGAGCGCTTTGCGCAACGACTGAACTGAGACAAAAAAATTGACCGCATCACAACGTGGTGAATGATGTTGATTGGGCGAAGCTCTGGTGGGGCTTGTCTGCGTAGACGCTGAGCCGCAGCACGCCGAGCCTTTCGTTCGTTTTCATCAATGTCAGAAAGAGAATGTGTGGTATGGAACATGGTTATATACGCATTTGAGCATTTGACCGCAGCGCCATCTCACCTATAAACATTGAGCCAATGCATGCAAAGTTTAATGCGATTATATACGCATTTGACCGCAGCGCCCCAGCTCTTGAGTTACTACCACATCTTAGAGCCCCCCCCCCCCCTACTCGTCCCGCAGTTGTGGCCGAGTGGTTAAGGCGATGGACTAGAAATCCATTGGTGTCTCCCCGCACAGGTTCGAATCCTGTCAACTGGACAAGGCTAGACCCTATACTTCGTCTCACCTTAGTAAAAACTATTGTTAGCCGCGCGTGCTAAAAGCGCGAGCTAGTCGCTTTGAATGAAGCCGCGGCGGCTGCACAAGCGCTCGTGCAGCAAGTGCTCTAGTCAAGGCAGCAAGGCTAGCCGCTTGCGCTAGCACAGCCTTCGCGGTTAGTCCATGCTAGGGTGAGACGAAGTATAAGGAGCTTCGCCCCTAAAAGCGCGGTGTGCGGGTTCAGCGTGCAAACAGTGCCTTCTTTGCTTTAGCTCACTCCTCGTCATCGACTTTCTTTCGCGGCAGATTTTTCACGTACCAGGGTCCCTCTCGAAAGAAAGCTCACCGAGAGAAACCTAGGTAATCAAAACTTCGGCAAGCATTCACTGAGTTAGAGGGACTTTTATAGCAACGTATGATTCAAACAAGAGCATGATTGTCAATGCGTTTCAGTTTAGAAAGCGCCATATCTGCAGCGACATAGAGACGGCAACACACGACGTCGCACGACCACGGCGACTGTGGTCGCGCGAGCGCTACAGCTCATAAACCAACTCTCGCCAAGCAAAAACGTGGTTTTGTTTCACAGCATGACGGCATGTCTGGCACCCGGCACACTAACTTCGATGTGTCCGCACACGCCGTCTATCGCTAAAAAAAAAAAAAAAAAAAAAAAAAAAAAAAAAAAAAAAAAAATGCGAAACGAGATTTTTGGACGACGTCAGCGCGAAACGCGAGACGGCGGGAAAAATCATGTAAGAACGAATAGACGATTGATGCAGGGTACTTTGTGTCGGGCGGCGTCATGTGCCACCTAGCTCACGCATGCTCAATTACGGTTCTCCGTTTAGTTTCGTTTTTGAAAGGCGACCAAAATTGGTCCTTTGGAGCAGGCTTGGCGCAGATTAGCCATATTTTGGCGAAATGTAGCAGGATGTAGCAGGGTTAGCCCCCTGGCGCAATTGGCGCAGCAATCACATCACTGCAGTATGGACCTGCGCTCAAGTGGGTTCTGAGATCGTCAATTTATGGCGATAGCTTGTTCCACGGGTTCTAAGCATCCTAGGTGAGAGGCCAATTTCCCCATTAGACATCTAATCGAGGATTGTGATGTGCCCCTCTTTTTGTGCCTTGGAGCAGACACCACTAGGCGCCGTCGGACGGCGTTTTCAAACAATAATTGTCAAATTACGTTTCCTACACCCAAAGATTCAACGTTTTTTTCTGAAATATAACGCGCGACGTATCTAAAAAGAGCAATACTAACGTTCGAAATATCCACGCACTAACTATTTTCGTTGGTAAAATTTTATGGAGGTGGTGGGGACCCAAAATTCTCCCCCCCCCCCCCCTCCCCCCTAAAGAGAAAATAGTGCTTCTGTACTGTAATATACCGATATATAGCCCACCCTCATTTTTGGCATGATCTACTATTTTTCCCCAAATACTGAAAGACAGCCCACTTCTAGTAATTGCAGAGCCCTGGCCAATGGTGACCTCGGCAAAAACGGTGTTACTTAACCACAGTGGGAGACAAGCGAACACTGCTGACTGGGGAGGACAGTCGTCTTTGATTCACCGCTCTTTCCTGTGATCACAAGTTTCGAGGGTGACAATATCTAAAACTAGAATTTTTACATCTTTCTTTTTTATGGCATATTGAAAATTAGCTTACCACTTACTTTCATCCGATTTGCTATCGATTTTAGTGGGCTATCTCCTAAGATATTCCGGTATTTCTATTGCTGCGTATTTACTAAGACGTCTTGCCATCTAGAACTGGTTACTTTTATTGACTAAAGCCCAACAAACAATATGCCATCAAAACCAAGTTTCTAGCAAAACTAGATTTGACGCTGGGCCTATATATTTTATTCGGTTAGCCGACAAGAACACTGAAACTGGCTCCCAGTTGTGCACTTACCGCAATTGCAATATGCATACTGTATGCGAGTTCGTCAACGCAGGTCTGCCGGGCCGACCGTACAAACACGCAAGTGCGACTTACACGAGGCTGCAACTTACATACGCCGACATGCCGTTTACGAACAAGCCGCCGTCTTCCCATACCGCGCGTGCGCAGAAAACAGATTCCTGTGAAGCAGGGCGCCTGCGCACGTGCCGACCACGGCGCCACTGCGGCGTTGGCGCAGGCCAACGTTTTAGCGAAAACATTCACTTGCAGAATTTTCAAACATGAACGACCATTCGACTCCTAGACCGGAAAATATGGTACGTCATTGTTACCTTTTCTTATCGATCTAAAGAAAGCTTGAGATTAGACTTTACGACTACATTTCAGGATCGCCACACTTTGTTTCGTCTCTCGGTGCACCTCAGCGCACTGGGAGCCACGCTAGCCAATCCGGCACTCCACGCGTGCCACGTGACCTCACGCTCCGCATATCGCTTCGTCTAGCCGGGATGTCACGTGACACGCTTTGACCCGTGGGTTGGCTTCGGCGGCTCACGGTGTTTACCACGGTACGTCGCACGGTGAAACAGAGTAGTGTAGAGTTCCAACGTATTTCGAGAGGCGTCTCCTCGCCGAGAAGTGGCTGTGAATTGATCGCTACGTGGGCGGGGTGGAGAATCGGGTACGTACCAATTGGCACTCCAGTGTCTCGGTGTCCCCGGTAGGTACAGCCTTCAGTCGAGAGCCCTCGCCCTGCAACGCAACAACGCGCGGCTCTGAAGTTCAGGTGCGGCGTCATTTTACGAGGTCGTCGCACGTGTGTTACGTACACAAAGGCACGATAACTTGAGACACAAAGGTAAAGACACGCGGTGACCTTTTCACGAAAGACGCGTCTTTCTACTTATCAGCATTAAGAGAAAACGCTTCAAAACGCACCCGGGCATTTAAAGGGGCACTAAAGTGCTCTCTGAGATCCTTGTTCTATTGTCGAAACTCAATCTACGAGAAAACCCAAAATTAAATTCATGCACGGTCGATTTGCATACTAAAGAAGTGATAAAAAATCCCGACACTTTCTGTTGGCGCAGGACAACAGATGGCGCTACCGAACCTTGCTGAATATGGTGGAATGACGGAGCGACGGGTTCCCGCATGGACGAGCGGCCAACCAATCTCGCTCGTTTAGGCCGAAACCCATTGCTCTCGAGTGCCTGACGAGTGCCGTCCATCGTTCCACCATATTCAGCAAGGTTTCGTAGGGCCATCTGTTGTCCTGCACCAGCAGTAAGTGTTTGCAACTTTGATCACTTCTTTAAGATGCAAATCTGCTGTGCATTAATGTAATTTCTGTTTTTTTGGGATTCTTAGAGCTCGTCGATTGAGTTATGACCATAGAACGAGGATCTCAGAAAGCACTTTCGTGCTCTCTTAATATAGAAAGACAGATCAGTGAACCGTTCGGGACTGAACGTAACATGTACCAACAGTGCCAACAACTAATGAATTTGTGGTCTAGCAGATAGTATGAACAATGTAACCAGTTCATTCTGTTTCATTGTTATACCAGAGTAGCCAGTCCTACATTTTTGTTGCTTCTCAAGAGAGATATGCAGCCGTTACTCTCCGTTGTTCTTAAGTACCACATTTCAGAACTGAACATTCTTTTATCCAGTGTGTCGAACCGAAAAAAATACGGGTTCGGTTACGGTTCAGGTTCAAGTAAATTTATTTTGTTCCGGTTCAGTTCTGGTTCGATTAATTCGATCCACGAACCGGTTCGTGAACCGGTTCGGGGCGCTGAACCGGTTCGCGAACCGGTTTGGAAATTATAAATGACAAATTGCAACATCAAAATAACAAAATCAAAATAACATCAAAATAAAAAACTTAAAAAATTGCAACATCATGTTCTAGAAACGTGTTATGAAATGAGCACACAGCAGCATTTAGGATTTACGAGATTGTAGGAAAATGAAATCCCGTGACGCGATTTTTTTTTGCACAGCCTTTCAATTCTCTTTCTTCCGTGCAAGCCGCGACCAGCGCAATACTGGTTCCTATGTCAAGATTCATGGATGCAGCGTTTGTCAAGATTCATGGATGCAGCGTTTATATTCCTAAGACTGAGTGGAGAAGAAAAATATGTAAGCGAGGTGTGTGTCAGTTGACGGCACTTAAAAAAACAAATGGCATTGATAGCACATCCATTGTCAACAGCGCGTGGCCGAACCGTTTTGACATGAGCCGGTAACCGTTATTTTTTTTCCGGTTCGGGTTCATCGCGATAACAATATAACGGTTCGGGTTCGCGTTCAGTTCCAGAAAAAATACCGGTTCGGTTCCGGTTTTCGGTTCGGTTCCGGTTCGACACCCTGCTTTTATCAAAACTTTTTTTTGTCTTTCATATGCAGCTGTTAATTTTTTTCTACGACATTGTCATAAAAGGGCATTATCGCATTTCCCATACCAAGACTGTTCAGTTCACAAACATTTGTAGACTGAGCATTATTGCACTTTGGCATTCTTACATACCGTGCAAGAATTCTCACGCACTTCACCTTGTGTAATATGTAAAACGTCTACAATAACGCAAGTTTACAAAGAAAATGTTTTGCTAGAGTATATCACTAACCCAGATGCCAACACCAGGAATACAAGCTCACCAGCTTTGTACGAAAGTAAAAAGAGGAAAAGCAGAGAGCTTATAATGCTCATACAAGCATATAAGGTGCTAAAATGGTACTACAGTCAAACCCCTTTATAACAAACAGCAGGAAACGCTACGATCAGTTCGATATAGCAAGTAGTTCAATATAGTAAAAACCATTTACAATGAACTTCCACGATGCATTCGTTGTCAGGTGAGAGCTTCTCTTTCTTTCTCATCTCTTTGCTTCTGCCTTGTAGCAACGCGCTAAAATTTTGTTGTTTAGCAAGTGTGTAGATTTTGTTTTTTTAGCTTATCTCCTTTTCTGAATCGCTTCTCTTCGCTCAAGTTTGTTTGCGGCTTGAGCTTTTAGAATTTTCTTTTCTTCCCAACATTTTTTTTTTTTTTTGGGGGGGGGGGGGGGGGGAAGGGACAGGTCAGTAGACAATTGTCTGTGCGTGTTTGGAAGCCTTCTGGGGGAAAAAGTTAAATACTATAACCAATGTGTTGTTCGTTATAAAAAGTACTTTTTACATGCATTTTTATTTAAATTTTCTGCGAGTTCGATATCGACAATAATTCACTGTACGTGGGTTCGTTCTAAATGAGTTTCACTGTATAATGCTAAAATATATGCAGCACAAGTTTTCCTGTGTTGTATGTTGACCCCGGTAATACGAGGAGGCTTTACTACCATAAATCTGTGTAACATGGGTTCCTACAAACCCCGGAGTTCCCCAAAGTACCCTGTCGGTTCCCCACACTCCCTAATTTCCTTGTCCGTTCCTTTCTCAGGAGAAGCATCTTATATTTTTTCAGTTTGAATGCAAAAATGTTCCAGAAGTTGGGACTCATCATGCTTAAACAAACTACATCGACTAGACATAACACAAATAAAAATTTAATCAGAAGTTCTCTCTCCCAGACGGGAGACATCATCAGCGAAGCCGAAAGGCAGTAACGAGAAAAATGCCAACCAGAAAAGGAGAGCGGTTCTGCCTGCTATGCGGAGCGCAAGTTTGTCTCCTTCTTGCACAAGGGTTGCGATGATGTCAGAACGCCGACGTCTTATTGGCTGATTTTAAAAAAAAATAGAGGGTAGACCTCGAGGCACGTAGCATTCGAGGTCTACCCACCATCCTTTCAATCAAAGCCAATCAGAGCTCGAAGTCATTCTGACGTAGCCGCAACTCCCACGCAAGAAGCAGACAACTTGCTCTCCGCGTGGCGTCGTGAACGTGGATCGCCCTCTCGAAATTCGCCGGGAATCTGCACCCACCTCTAACCTGTTGACGGAGAACTCGACGGCCGAGATGCGACCGCCTTCTGAGCCGCCGACGAACCTGGCCGGACTGCGCAGGAACCGGAGCTCCCAGGCCCGATTGTGGTGATCGGCATGCTGCTTCTCCGCCGTCTGCAACAGCAGCTCCAGCAGACGCTTGCGAGGCCGCGGCAGGTCTGGACACAGAGAGCGGAACGACGTCGAGGCGATCGGCGAGGGACCAAGTTAAGGCGTTCTGTTAAGAACATATTCTTTGCAGCAAGAAAAAAAAAAAAAAGCCACTGACTTAGAAACATGTTATATTTCGGTCAACTAACATCCGAAGAACATTTCAACAAAGTTTCGTTCGTTTCCGCCGCACCTCGCTGTCGGTTATTCTCGGTGCCTGCGCCATATATGAGAGGTGGAGGTCCGAACGCTTTGAACGAGTTTTTCTCCATTCCATTCTTTTCGGCATAAACCTCAGTTTAGTCAATCTGTCGTTTCTTTATAACACTAAAGGAAAGGCTTCTTTGTTTTTACTGTCTGAAATTTAATGAAAAAAGCAGCTGGAAAACTTCTTTTTCTTTTTTCTTTATCAATGTCTTTAATAAACAAAGCCCTTTTCACGGTAGCACTATCCAGACATTCTGCTTTGTACCTTGAAAAAGGAAATGCCAAACATTTTATCCCCGACAGCAACTGTCCTAATTTCCTTTGCTAGCAGTGTAGAGCTGAAACTTTTTTCTGTACCCTTTGTCATGACTAGCAGTCTACGCTGTTCATTAATTTTAAGCTAGGGGCTCAAAAGTTGACCTTCCTAGGTAATGTCCTCCCTTACATGCCTTGCACGCTAATTAACCTAAAACCAAACAAAAAAAAAAAAAAACAGTGGCTTAGCTCGGCCATGCCAGGATATACGTAGCGTAAGCTTAAGTTCAGCTGGTTATTAGCTTTCCTGGTTGTCTAGGATTAGCTTGATTATCATGCTTACTGCTGCTTCAATGACACACACACGGTATACACATTACGTGACTATTTCGGGATTCGATGAGTTAAGCTTCTCCGCTCTTCTTATTGCGGAAGATGCGCCGTGTAACCGAGCTTTCGGTTGCACGTCAAAAGATCCTCAGGTGGTCCAAATTAATCCTCAGTCCTCCGCTGGGGCGTGCCAGATGCCCATCGTTGGTTTGGCCAGCTGTGCGCCGTGTTGTTATGCATCAAGCAACCAAGCTGCCGCCCAGAACAACCGGACAGCGCGAGCCATGACCTCGAGCGTCGGGGACTGACCTAGGCGCGCCATACCGGTCCTGCCCGTTCCGTCACTGCTCCTCGCACATGTGCAGCACGGCTGGCGCTCCAGGAGCCATGCGAAACTGCTCAACCTCGGCCAGTGTAGCTTACACTACAAAAAAATGATGGCAACCTGCTAGGCCATTGTGTTGCATACGTGAAATGTTCTAGGATCACAAACATTTAGCGATGCTCTGAGTTTCCAGACGCCAGATGCTCACGTTCATGGCGCTCTTCATCAGATAGTTTAACGTGTGCCATGTGTACACTCAATAGTCAATCCCAGAATGAAGCGATACTACCGCTAATCGGGCCGATAAACCTGGCGATCTTCCATATTCTCGAGCTCCGTCCCTCAGTGCACACAGCTGGTCGAGCTCCTTCTCGTCTACCCCCCATGGTCACACGACCTCCCCTTTTAACCAATCGGCGATGAGCACCTCACCCCTCCTCTCCCACCCGCCGACCAATCAGCTTCGAGCCTTGCGGCCGCGCTTTGATCTGGGCTTCATGAAATGCCGAACACATAGCCAAAGAATGTTTCACGTTAACATTGTCTTTCTTGTTAACAAATCCTACAGGCACCCACAGTGTAATTTCTTTGGGGTGGAAGTGGGCTGACAGAAAAGTTTTGTTTCTAATTTGCATATCTTTTGATCCAGGCAACGTCACGTGCCTAAACTTTCGCATTCTCTTACCACCGCTAGCGTCACATTCTCACGGAGGTCAAGCTTTCTGCAATGCATAGTTTACTTACGCGGTTGTTTCACTTTCTCAATTTAACCCGGTACTTCTGTTTAGGAGGGCGCAAAAGAAATGAATGAATGAAAGTCTACTGACCGGCAAGCTTGTCCCGCACGACCGCAAAGTCCTCAGCCCGCAAGACCGTGCCCACGCCAGGCAGCTTGGTCATCTCACGTAGTTCCTTGATGGTGAAGGACACCTCCAGGGGGCCTCTCCTGCCGACCAAAATCACTCGCCGGACGTTGCTGCGGCGCAGCGCCGCCAATGCCGGCTCTGCAATGTCCGTCATCTGGGAGGGATGCGAAAGGACTTGAGTGACGCCGTTACCTTTCCGAGTGCCTGAGCAAGATTTCGGTGGCATGGAGATAACCGGTACGGTAAATGACGTTAAAAGTGAACAGATGTGGCTTGGTGTCGTGGCAGGCGAATCCGTTTCTGCGCGGCGTTGCTTTTGCTGCGAGGCTCGCATTTCAGTTTCGCGATGCGGCCCGAATTGGCTAGGATCCATACTCTACCAAGATACAAAATGTGCATCGGGTTGTCGAGTGTAACCCAATTTCACCAAGGTATTTGCACAATGCGAACATGTTTCATGAAACTTAGGCTAAATCCAACTTCCTCGCCAGGAAAGATGGGTGAATTCCGGTCTCTTCCAACACAAAAAGGTCCACTTCCAACACAAAAAGAAAAAGAGCCGAAACACACATATACGGATGATCGTGAAAAAAAGCAACAGCATTTTAGTTAATACAACCATCGAAAACAGTCGAGCTAAAAAATACAACCCTAAATTATTCCTTAAATTTCAGTTAAAAAAAACACATCCTACCGTGAAAACAAAGAGCCTCTGATGGCACAGATTGTCCTATGGACAATTTCAAAATCGTGCATGCCATCAGGGACATAGAATTCCCACCCGAGACAACGCGCCACACGCTAGCAATGGACGCACCTGCAGCCTCTCGGGCGACGACAGTAAGATGCGTGCCACGTCCAGTGCCACGTTGCCATGCCCAATGACGACCGCCGTGTTGCCGGACAGGTCCGGGTTCACGCCGGCGTCGGCGGGGTGGCCGTTGTACCAGCCGACAAACTTGCGGGCACTCAGGACGTTGGGGAGGTCCTAGACACACACGCACACTCGCACGTTAGGCAAAGGCACTACACATTAGGCTCATTAGTACACGAGGCGTCGGACAGGAGGGGGACCGGTGGCATTGCAGCTCGGAGCGCAAAGAGCAAAACCTCATGCTGCAGAAACCGTGGATCCTCGGTCTAACTCCCCCCTGCCCATTTCGACCTAGATGTGCATTGTGCCGGCATGCAATCACGTGATCACCACTACATAATGCACATAAAGAAACACTAAACCTAGGAAAAAAAAGTTTTTTTTTCCCTACCCGGTTAGAAAAAGGTTTGTCGCAAAATAGAAACATTTTTCGCCCAATATTTATGTTACAAAACTAATTTTTCGAATTGTGGGTGACACCAAAATTGTACCCCTGTGGGATGATGATGATAGCATTTGTATCCGCAACTATTGTGTGCTCTGAGGTGCAGTGCAGAACCCTACATTGGGAGAGTCTGGCCAATAGGCGTGGCGACGAAGACTCTGGAGAGGAGAAAAGTGAAGAGGGGGAGAGAGACGAAGGAGCGAGAGAGGAAGGAGGGAGCAAAGAGGAAACGACCGCCATTTCGATACAACACGCTTTAGGCATGTTGCGTCGACTTCTTTTTCGCCTGAAAGCTTGCGATCAAGTCAAACATTTAAAAAACATCATTCATTAGCTTTTTAACACACCGAAGAATAACACTGTATCATTTTCTTCCAAGAGCGAGCAAACTAAATGGAAAGAAGCGAAATTTGGATGTCAATCCCATGCATTCCACCAGACAAACGAATGAAAATCCTTGCACAGCTGGGAGCAGCCAGGAGTTCACGTGCATGCGCTCGTGCCTTGCACTCTGTGCCGTGGGCTTACTAACTCATTCAGGAGGGGGGCGTTACGGCGGCGAGATCATAAGCTGGCCAAACTCTCCCAATATTGGGGAGGAGGAGCGACCATGACGCCCCAAGTGGTTAACTTTAGAACTACACGGATGGGGACAACGAATACAATGACTCAGCACTCGGCTGACATAACCGAACGCGGCGTCAGCGTTCGGCTGGAGTTCGTGTTCTCCAGTGAGGGGGAGGAGGGGCTCTTCTGTTTCTACTCCGGCCTGCATGAACAATGCAGCATGCACGGTCCCAGCTCCGCACAACAGCCGAAGTGGGTCAAGCTCGCATTCTCTGAGGATAGATCCGGCACTTAACGTTGCTTCGTCAATTGTCAGTATTTTTTACATTAAACTGTGCCCCACGCCCTATTGTAGAAGACGACATGGACATGCCCATAAGGCCTGTGAGCATGTGTGCAGGCCTTGTGTTAAGTAAACACCGAGGGTGGGGATAACAAAGGGGTCAGAGCGCCCCTTATACCGTAATATACCAGGCAAGCGCCCACTCAAACTTTGGAGATAATTGCAAAACAAATGGGGGATGGGCACTTCTCCAGTCATCAATTTTACATATAAATGTACTGCGCATATTTTCTCAGATCCTACAAATTTGGGAATGGGCACTTAGTGTGGTGTGGGCGGATGCACGGTATTCTACGGTAGTTCAATCTCCTGCCCAATATGGCTCTGGTCCAGCGAACTCGGAGCGCACACTAGTAGGGTACAAACGCTATCATCATTATCCCACAGGAGTAAAATTTTCGGTGCAAGCAAATCGAAAAGTTTGTAATTGTAAAACCAAACATGGGGCAAAAAAAATTTTTTTTTTTCCTGCGAACATTTTTTTTGGGATATAATAATCTTAATTAGGTAGAACATTTTTTTTTCTCCCAGGTTTAGTTTTTTTTTTTTTTTAAGAAACTCAGGCTAGCGGTGGTACTGCACTGGCTAAATTTCTCATCTACAGCAGATGCCAAATGCAGGCTTGGGCTGATTCTGATCAACTGAATTGCCACAGTATAAACAAACACACAGTAACATTTATTAAATAAACAAAGACGCAAAAGGAAAAAAAAAAAAAATATCCATGCTATATCAGAGGGATGCCTTATGGGACAACAATTTAGCATTTAACGATGAATATTTTAACACAAACTGCTGCAGGCAATCCCATACCGAGAAGCAAACACGATGCTCACCTCACCCGGAATGCCCAAGTTCTTTTCTTGGTCAGCGCCGTACGTCTGTGGTTGAGGGGAGGGTGCCGGTAAACGGACATGCACGAAGAAGGAAAAGGGCATCAAAGAAATCACGAAGAATAGACGGGCAATCAACACTCCACTTTAAATGGCTGTTTCCTCGTGTTATCTGTGTAGACGCTTATTCTCCAGCTCACCGCAATCCCCTCGCACCTCGAAACCAAGAGAATGCTGTAGCTCCTCTGACAAAACCTTCGATTTGTGTCTGCTGCAACTAAGGTGCTTTAAATGCATTTCTGACTGGCGAGTCTACCTCATCTCAGCCTTGTTCACTCGCAACTTTTGAAACTTCGTTCTGTTTGTCCCTTCCTTTTTCCCTTGTCTTGGGTTTTTTCTAAGTATGAACATTCACCAGCTAGCCTGCGCCACAACTTTTATTTTTGTTGTTCACTGGTTCTTCCTTTACGTGGTACTTTGATTGCACTTTGCTCCACACTGGCTAGGTGGCGCATGTTGCCATCCAATTTAAAAAGTCCAACCGCATGCAGTCGCCGACCGATTTTTCGGACATAGCAGGGACCGAAAAAAATGTCTGAATAATAAAGCAGTCTGAAAAATCAGCAGAGTAAAAGGTCTTTATTAAATAAGCGGGCTTAAAAAAGCCGTCAATAGTGCCTTCCTTCAGGTTATGCCTTTGCTTGCGTTCGGCCATTTTCTAGTAGCTTGCGAATCACTGCCTTCTTTTCCAGCATTATGGTTGAGTACTTTCCGCTCTTCTTAGCGACACTTCGCAGGACGTGAAGAACAGATGGGGCCACGACGTCCAAGCCAGCGTAGTCCGAAAACATGATACAGTTGAACCCCAATTTAACGAAACCCATTTTACGAGTTTCCCGATTTAACGAACAAATTCAGATTCCTCGCGCAGCCTATCCCGAAGAATGTCTTTCTCGACTTTACGAAGTTCCCGATTTAACAAAGTAATTAGGGGGTCCCGGTGACTTCGCTAAATCGAGGTTCAACCGTACACCAAGACAAGATAAGAGGAGCAAGTCCATGACTGCAGAATGGCGAATGAACATAGCAAAATGGTGACAATGATGACGATAATGACGCGCAGTTGGAGAAAAGAAAGCCTTAGCATAGCATCACCTAATGGTAGGACTTAGCAGTACTCATGTAGCGTCACGAAACCAAGCCAATGCATGTGAAGCCAACATAAAATCTAGAATGGCGGCTTCTGGGTGGTGTTTCTTGCCGATAACTCGCAACGATTTTGTCCTAAAGGTTGAACTTACGGACTTTAAGCTGTCCGAAACATCTGTCGTGAATGTGCACTATCTCTGTCAACCAGGTCACGGTTCCTCCCTTAGGTGCGAAATATAGAAAAAGTCTGAATTATAGGCATCCCAAAAATCAACCGGTGACTGTACGTCCGCGGCAGATGCGCATTCGGTGCTGGACGTGAAGCCCAAGAGGTTCGGCTGTTGGCCGATGGAAACTCCTGCAGTCCCAAGCTTTGCCACGTGCGACGTTTGTCTGCTACGCCTTCGCACAGCAGATGATGTTGCAGACGATGAAGTGTTCCACAAGGGGATCGTTATGTGACCAAGACGAAAACTCACCAGCACAACAGCATGGTAGGCCTTCCTGAGGTCAGCGAGCGACACGTCAAGTCCCAGCCTCACGTTGCCGTAAAAGTGGCAACGCGGATTCTTGGCGATGTTCGTAAACGTGTGGACGACATTCTAGACGCTCGGGAAGGAAGAAAACAAAAATTAGCCAGTTCCTCGACGTGTCCCGCAAATTGATCGAGGCGACAGACAAGGCGATGTACAGATTCTGCTGCACATAGAATATGTGCAACCTTTTTCCGGCATTGCTCAAAGCTTGGCAAAGGTGAGAAGATTACAGTGCTACGTGAAGTCGCAATTTTCCCCTCTAAATTTAGCAGGAGAACCGTGACACGGTCACATAGTGTCAGTGTTACGTGATGCCCCAATTTCCCGCTAAATTTAGTGGAGAAACTTTACTGCTTAGTTTATTCGGGAAACGCTTCCCGTGACGTCGCAATTTTAGAGCTAAATTTAGCAGGGAAAAGAATTCATGCGGCATCACGCGACGTGATATGATGCCACAATTTCACGGCTAAATTTAGCGGGAAAGTTTCTTCGCTGCAAACCCTGGCTAATAGTGGTCATTGACCCCAAAACGACGTGGCAAGATAAAATCAAAAACAGCCTGGCACATTCTATGTGTCGCTTCACGAAGGAACGATTGCTTCGGTAGCGCCACTTTTCTCGAGGGTCTCCGAAACTCACCTTGACTTCAGGGTGGTCCGGAGCGACACCAAACCGGACCAGTCCAAAGGGAACGGGCAGCCCTTCGTAGATGTCCACTGTGGCACCGGGGTGCTGTTCAAGTATCGGTTCAGTTAGCGCAGGCAGGCAGTGCCCCATTCCAGAAAGCGAGCACCAAAATGAAAGTAGTTGTGAACTTTAAAAACCACTGTGCTAATAACGATTCATACAGGTAGGTGCAAGTCAACCAAAGATGACTCACTTCGACTTCAGGACCACCCTGAAGTCAAGGTGAGTTTTGGGGTCCCCCAACCCTAGATAAAAATGGCGGTACCCACCGACAATGGAAAGGGGCTAATGCGTATCATCTTTTAGAACGGGTACGGTACAGCTTAACCTTGAGGTCAAATGCAAAACAGTCCTACTAAACTTATTTTATCAAGGTGGGTTTGGTTATTGCATCTGACATTACTCTACAGTGCTGGCAATTTTTTCCACGTGCAGCCCACTTTGAAGCACCAGTTGGATTCTGTAGAGTCAATGTGGTAAAGACAATGCCCATGGCAGTTAAAGTCACCAGATCCTAGGAAAGTAGCACCAAAAGCTCCGTGTATAGTCGCCACCTTGGTTCATGGAATGAGCCATTTCTCCTCGACCTTTCCATTCTTGGTGAGCCGACCTAAATTTGCTGGTGACGGACAGCTTTACAGAGATGTCTCTTGAACACCGTGATTTTTTTATTCACACATCGGCAAAACAAGTGCTATCTTTGCACCGCTTCCAGATGCAGCAACGTGCTTGGCAACATAGAAAAATAATTTTCCTGTCTTTAAATATGCAAGAACAACAATACCGTTGTAAGAGATCTGTGGAGATAATAATAATTGGTAAGTGAATCGTGTGCACAGTGCCAGACGCTTATGTTGTAGAGGAACTCTTTCACTGCAATGATGCTCCATAGTGATCTTGGCACGACTGGTTCAGACCAGCTTTTTCAGAGCTTCAAAGATTTGAATGGGCCGAAATGGCGATTGCCATGGCAACTGAGACCAATCAGAAAATCTCCTTGCTATGTTTGGTCGTCTGTATGTTAGCCTCTGTTTGTGTCCAGCTAGCAGGCATGGAAGAAAATGGCGCTACTTTTCCAGGATTCAGAGACCTTAAAGGGGCCCTCCGGAGCTTTCTGCGATTGTCTGTTTATGTATTTATATTGCGTAGTAGGTGCAAGTTAATATGTATACAAAGTTTTAGATTACAAAACCGTTTATTAAGCAGATGGCGGAAGAAATATATTGGGACTATTTTCTCCTGGAAGACAATCCCCCATTCCCTGCCCCTCGCTAAAACTTGACCAATGGAAATGCTGCATCTCGCGGTAAATGCGAACGTTATTATTGCAACACTTCTTAAGCTTGTTGTAAATTAGAGTTTGAGAAAAACGTAAACTGATTGTGGTGCGGGAAACATAGTCCGCAATTATTGCTCCAAAACCAGCGAACTATGTTTTCTCCCCGCAAGCTTGTTGCTAGGGGGTGATGCGTCGGCGCGTCGGCTCGTCTGCTTCCCGGGGCGTCTGCAGGCGTGCGTTTGCGGGACACATGTTCCTTCTTCCCGTGGATCCCGACTTCGAAGCCAGCTTTGCGATCCTTAGACGTCAACGAGTCAAACTTTTCCTTGTCATCTGTGGGATGTGACTGCGTATTGCAGTAGCAGCGCGACGGCGCGGTGCGACGAACGACGACTGCCGAGCACCAGGTCCGGGTACCTTGACGACGGTCCGCGCGTGTTCGAGATTCCTCCGCGGGTCGGCGGTCGGTCGCGTTCGTGACGCACAGTGACGAGTGACGCCGGAATCCTTCGCTTGCTATTGGCTGACGCGTAAAGAGATGCCCCTCCCGTTTTCCGGGGCCCTCTCAGAAAGGGGGGCGTGCCGGGGACTTTGATAGCAATTTTAGTAGGGAAATCCGCGGCGCATGACCGTAATTTTATGATTTTTAGGATCCTTAGGGCCTGTAGATTGAGTTACCACCATAAATAGACCATCGCAGAACGCTCCGGAGGGCCCCTTTAATGGCAAGTAGACCACATGCTAAGCAGGTCAAATCGAGTCAGAGCTGTCTTGTGTCAAACCATCCGGTGTTTTATTATCGACTTTCTAGCAAGCTGTCACCATTACCTATCTCCTTTTTAACATCCTTATCCCTTCTGCCCTATCTCTCCTGCCTCCGGTTTTCTCATATTATTTTTAGGAAAAAAAAAAAAAAAACAGTTCAGCTGTTCAGTTAGATTTGAAGACTAGGTGGCGCAAGCTGTTACCTGTCACTATCATTCATTCATCCATCCATCCGTCCATCTATCGTTGCGAACATTCGACACGATAAAGGATCAAAACAAAAGCGAAACACACAAAGGCGGACGCACCTACTTTGAGAACTTGCTGTGCCGTGTAGAACCCGGCGGGACCGGCGCCGACGATCGAAACCTTCAGGGACGAGACGCCACGGCGCTCGAAATGTCTCCGTAGACACCATCGTACCGGCTGGTTCAACAGCGACAGTTTACGCGGAGTCAGCGAAGCCAAAGTCATCGCGTCGTCCTTCAGTCGCCTGCGGGGACAAACCACAACCCAGCTCGTTTTACAAATACTTCGGCCGAAACAGCCGACACAGGTCCACAAAATAGGCACAGAGATACAAACTTTAGATAACTACGAGGTTGAGATAACAGCTGACGACTGTGCCTGTCCATCGGACACAATATTTGTTTTCGAGATAGGCAATCGACTTGATTACCGACATAGCCGAGCTGTCACCGCCGTGATTCATTTCTCTAATTTGGCTGCGGAGTTCGCAGGATCAAAGTTTATGGTAAGGTATTACTTGAAGGTCGTGTATCATTGGATTTAATTTGAGCATGCACACATGGTTGTGGTGTATGTATCGCTAAACGAGCGGTGGTTAACACATGATGTGAAAAGAGGGACACTTCAACCGAGGCCTTCGCCGCTGAAAAGATACTTACCGCGTTTAAAATCGGTCTCAATCGCCGTTCGTGACTGACAATCTATGCAATGTTTCCAAAACGTTTAAATTCATCCCTACCGACGGCTGCTCGGCACCGTGCTGCAACCGCTGAACTGGCTGAAACTGCACTCACTGCACACCGCGAGTTCTGTTGTGTCACTCCGCGCTCAAAATAAAAGTAAAACAAATATTGATAATGATTCATTAAATGAGACATATAAATAAATATATACGGTTGATTTAAATCATAAATTAAGGTAAATAAGGTGTAATCGTAATTTCAACAATCGGGTCTTTCTTAAAATAGCTAAAATAAAATAATTAATTGAGTACAAATTTCTGCAGCGCTTGCACAGTGGTTCGCGACTCGCCGGAAGTCGATAAAACTCCGCCATATTGGAATTTCACACAGATTGGGTGTTGGTGGTTTTTGAGCGTTTCGCCTTCGCTTGCGTTTTGTTCTGTTTTTCTAGCTCCCGACCCGGTGAGTTCGTCCTCGAAATAATTTAATTTACCTACAAATTATAGGCCGATGCAGTTTTTAATCCCATCTTTCAAAACGAAGCGCTCTAACACTGCTACCAAGTTTCTCGGAAAGTTGATCTCGATTTGCCGTTAGTTCAACATCCGGACGCCGGCTCTCCGCAGCGAGTTTTCGTATCTGAAACAATCTCGTACGACTTACGCTTCTGAAGTAAAGTTTTAGATGAAAATTGCACACCTTGTAAATCAGTATTGCGACTCGATTGCGTGTGAATGCTAGCTGCTGCTGCCGGTAGTTATCGTGGTCCAAAACTTCGTGGGCGTTGAAGCGTCTTCGATGGAATGGCCTAAAATATGCCCGAAAATGCCTAACGTTCGTTGGCTTACTTAAATCTGGCGTTCCCCCCCTCTCCCCCATTTTCTAGCGCTTTTCGTTGTTCGCTTCCAGCCCGCAATATCTTTTCTGAGCGTTTACTTTGACGTTTTCATCGGTGTTGACGAAATGTTGGTCTGGTGTGGACGTTTTTCGTTGACTAGCGTTCGTTCGTGATCGGTGATTCGACTCCGTGATTTGCAAGTTGACTCATGCCATTTGTGAGAAAGGGCGTTGTACTGTATAGATTTTGTTTGGTTCTGAAAGAGGGTTAGATGTAACGTTTTACTATTTGAATGCGTATTTTGATTCTTTTGCTTCGCGTAGCTGGTCGATGCGAGTTCTTTTTTACACAACATGTTCGTTTTTTTCTAAGGGCACGAGAAATGAACAAGCAAAACGTTTTCCATAAGCGTAAAATAAAAAAAAAAAATAAAAAATACCCCCCTCCAAAAAAAAAAAAGAAAAAATCAGATTTAAATAAAAACAGAAAGAATAAACATAGGGACGGACAGAACAACAGTGTTGTTCTGTCCGTCCCTATGTTTATTCTTTCTGTTTTTATTTAACTTCACCAACGCGCTCACGTCGAACTAAATCAGATTTATTTGTTATAATTTTTTTTATCTCCAACTTGAAATTGGCATGATTTTTGCAGCATGAAGTTGAAAACTGGTTGGTAGTTTGGGGTTGGATGTAAGAGAGTGCCAGGTTACATTACTGACAAATCGGCATACTTCGTAGCCGCCACCACCACGAAAGTATTGTCACATGAGCAATTGCTTGCCAGTACTTTTTGCAAATTCTACTTTTCCCTGTGAAAGACAGGTACGGGTGTGACCTTGCAGAGTTGGTAGGTTGTTTATTTACCTTCGTGAAGACTAACCAGCGTCATCTTTTGACGTCATTGCACCTCGAAAAGTTCCTTCCACTCTTCGACGATAGTTCTTGGAAGGAATGGAAAAGCAGAAAACATTCCGACGAGAGAAGAGGCAGATTTTGCTTGGGCGACTCACTATCTCCAATATATCGGAATGTGCTATTAAAAACTCTGTCTGGTCGAGAACAAGTCTGCCGTTACATTTCTGCACGCACGCCTGCAAGGGAACAACCTACGAGACCATAGCTCCTCCGGCAGTCCTGTCGTTAACAGTCAAGAGGAGCGGTGCTTACCAATCTCCTACGAAACGCACAATCTGTGCCTCCTCCCAATGAAACACTATCCTGGCAGCCACCGAAGAATAGCTCGGACTTAGCGCCAAATGGAACAGCCCGAGCTGGGGAGGCCGCTCACTCAAACTTGAAATCGCGGCTGGACCGTGGACGACGCATTTTTGGCAGTCTCCTATGCGTCACAGTCTGAGGGGATAAGTGAGCAAGCGGCCTCCCCTGGGCAAGCGGCCTCCCCTGCGCAGGTTGTTTTATTAAATACAGCGTCGTGGAGGGGTTCCTCGGTTGTTGCCAGGTGCAGTTTGCCTGTCCTGTGTAAGCTTGGCGAGCACTGTACCTCACTCGCCTCATCCGGCTGACGGACGCTCTGTGTCCTTTGTATGTTCAAAGACTACACCGGCCACTTGCTGAAGTCGCCTTGGAACTGCAGCACGATGGCAGACGACAAGCACACTCTGCCGGTGGCGGACGACGACGAGGACAGCCCGAACTACAAGCCACCCGCAGCCAAGAGTCTCAAGGACATTGTGGAGGCGGACAAGGAGGACACCTCCCTGCAGAAGTACAAGGAGACTCTGCTGGGGGCCGCCACTGCTGCAGCGGTCATTGTCGGTGAGCGACCCTTCGGGTTTGTCTTCGGATTGCGCTCGACTCTGTTTCGCGGATGGGCGTGTAATCGTGTGGGCTACGGGCTCTCCGTGTGGGTGTCGCCTCGAAATCGGTTGGATTTGTTTCCGGATTGCGCTCGAGTTTATTCGTGGTGACATTGGTCTAACCGATACGAATGATCACTCCTCCCCTTTCCCCAAAATTGGTGTACAACTAAAGTCAGTGTCTGGCTAAGAATTTTAGTAAAAACTCCACCTTCAGCATGCGGTCCTTTGCCTTCTGTGGTACTTTTGCCGCTCATGAGACGGTAGTGTAATGAAGTGAAACTTGATTCTTAACCTGTCACCAAGTGTGTTGTAATCACCATGCACGTAAGAATCGATTGATGTTTAATTGAGAAAGTTGAGCGCGAAAGGGTTTGGCGCAATGAAGTCGTAGGGCGAAGCTCGCTGAACTCTGAGCTATTTGTGTCCCGGAAAATAGAGCGATGACCTTGAGCCGTCGTCTTGTTTGCAGAACCGGACAATCCGAGCTGTGTGCTGGTCAAGAAGCTGGCTCTGGTGGTGGAAGGCAGGCCAGACGTGGTGCTTGACCTGACAGGTGCGTCTGGGATGACCGGGAAGTGTCGTAATGGATGCTTCTCACCGTTAAGACAATGCTTTCACTGTAAAGGTAACTTGACATATAGTTAAAGGGACCATGAAATGACCTTTTTACTTTTTCCAGATAACTTTTACATTAAACCGTCAATGTTCACTGAATGCCGAACAGGCATCCGTTTTCGTCTCGGTTTATTAACTTCTACACAAAAAATTATTGAAATATCGACTTTTTCATTCTCTCCAACTGACCGCAAAAGAAGCCGTGATGTAGACCGTTTCCAAAACCGGAAGTTCTCTCGGCAGTAGGAGAATGGGAGTGTTAGCGGCAACGAGTTGGGGTGCGCCGGTAGGTTTTACTGCGCTGATGTCATTGACGTATTTCCTGAATCCGCGCCTCTCATCGCCGCATCGCAGCTGAGCGAAATTCAATGAGATATGTTGCGCTACAGCGACAGCATGGGACTAGTCCCATACGCCGGTATGCCTGTTGGGAAGTGCAGACTCCAGAAGTCAACCACCCCGTCATTGTTGGCAGAAGGGCCGGCCCGTGTCAGTCGTTTGCAAAGCGACGTAGATGGCGTTTTTCGCGGCCTCGGAGATGCAGGAGCGAGCCGACGTTAAAAAAGATACGTTTGAACTACGAGTGTCAGCAAGAGCCACGTAAATACCTGTTTACACTCGGAGCGGACGCGCGCGCTTGATGGAAGTCTTGTATTCGCGCTGTTTGTAAGCGCTTCGAGACCGTTCTTTTACGATTGCAACTCGATACTGGCGCGACACTCGGCAAAGAAAGGTTGGACCGGGGTTGTACGTATACCTCCCACGAACTGTTATAGCTTGACAGTGACGTGCAGTCTGTCAGAATAAAAATGGCATACCAATAACAAAGTGTACATACCGTGTTACGAAGGTAATCCATACGGCGTTTATTTCAGCTCTATATCACACAAAACAAGAAGATAGAATCGACGAGAGTCCCTTTTCGACGAGTGTTCGTCAACACTGCCTCGGAAAACAAGGGGAAGAGATTGACCTCACCTCTTAATCTAGAATTGAGGTCAGTGATCAAACTATAATACGGGAAGGGTCCACAAGGGTCGCGCGGGCATATTCCACTTAGCACGCCAGCCGATCGTAGGCAGACGGTCTTGCAACGAAGCAACGCAGCGCCGAGTCGGAATGCCTGCTAGGCCTATACGCTTCGTCGGAGTCGGTGGATCCAGCGTTCTTGTTCGTCGTGGTCTGTTTTAAGTACTGTTTTCTTGCTGCTTGAAGTCGGCACGCGCGGGAAGAACACATAGAAAAATAAACGTTCAGTCAGTCAGAGTTTTGAGAGGAAGGAAAACAAAAAAAATAAATGTTCGTCGGTCGCCATCAATGGTCGCCATCAATGGTCGCCGTCACCCAAGTAACTGTCGGCCCTGCCCTACTGCGCACGCGCAGTAGTTGCTTCGTTTACCACATGATAGATGGCGCTTGGCTCTCAGCATTATCAAATTTGGCAATTTTCGCCACACATCTCTAATTATGCTACAAAATGTGGATCTGAATATTATTTAACAAAACTTTTAGGAAACATTCGCCGGCTATTTATTGTTTACGATCGCGGCGCTGGTGAGGTAGGCTCTTACCCAATAGGCGACCTGGATTTGGCTGACGTGCTCCATATCCGCGGATGCATCGTAGTGAACAGGCGAAGGAAGGAAGGCGCAAAAGAGTCCAGTTTTCTTTTAAAAGTTCTATAGCAAATAATTTTTTTTGGCTCCCTATTTTTGTGTTTTTGTGTTTCTTTTCACACCTTTTACGACGTGCGGGGGATGAAACTCGATTTTAAAATCATTTCATGGTCCCTTTAAATCATATAAAGACACATTTTAATTTTTTTTGCTTCAATTATATTTGTTGTCACCTCATGAAAAAAAAGCATGTTTTGTACTAGGTTCAAACGCCAAAAGCTATGCTTTTGGAGCTTTTGGCGTTTGAAACGTCTACGTTTTGATCAGATAACATATCTAGGGTTCCGTGCTTTCGGATAAATCTGAAATAATCTGAAAGCACTAGCTGGTAAAATTTTCTTTGATTCGAATTTATCCGAATTGGGAACGATGTAAAATTCAACTCAGAATTTCAGAGAATTGGTAAGCTAACGAAAATAAACTTGACAAACCCTGTATGTTCAGCGAAAAGTAAATCCGAAAAACACCCTCCGGGTTTTACGTGAAATGGACTCCGAAAACACTGAATCCTACACATACCTAATTTAGAATGCACCTATACATGTATCAATTCTCCACAAAAAAGGATAAGTCAGTAATGCTCCACGAGAAATCTGACTTTTTTTACTATGGTTCTTGAGGCGAGGGTGGGTATAGCGCGTAGCATCATGCAAATTCTGTTGGGCCTAGTCGCAGTTAACGACCAGCAACTTCCGTCAGTCCCGCAACCGTTAGAGCGCCCCTGCTGCTGCAGCATAAGTCGGTATCATTGTTGTCACCGACAACAAACTCCCTCTTGCTCTCCCTTGCCAAAACACTGGAGTTGGAGAGAGAGACTTCGAAACGATGGGGGGGGCGGTATGCATTCAAAGTGCACGCTTAAAATGTCATCTCATCAGGACATACTTTTCAAATGCCACGCAAGTTACAACAAATTATGTCGCCGTAAATTTTGCCGGCGAGCATTTCCCCGATTTTTTTTTGATTTATCCGAAAACGCGGAACCCTAGATACGTCACCTTATCTAGACGTACATGTTCGAGACTCCCGGTGCATTCAAAGCGGTAACAAATCGCGTCGCTATAGCCGGCGCATCATGCCGTCGGACGTCGCGATCCCAGCGATTCGTCGTAGAAGTTCCGGCATAAGGTAGCGGCGAATGCGCCGTCGACGAGGCGTCCCAACTCCGGGTCGCCGAAGCTCCCGTGCACTGTCATGCCGAAGGGTGACCTACGGCAGAACAGACACCTGCCATACTTGGCTCTGCCGCCAAGGTCGCGGCGGGTGCCGGCGCGATGCCTCCGCGACGTCGGAAGGTTGAGGGACTGCAAATGGGGACGCGGTGAATGGGCTGGTTGGAGTTGTGGGCGACGGCGACTGACGGGTGCTGGTGTTTCCGACAGAGGACCTGGAGCAGCTGAAGAAGCGCACATTCACGGTGAAGGAGGGCATCCAGTACAGGATCCGGGTGGAGTTCTTTGTCCAGCGGGAGATCGTCACGGGCCTCAAGTACGTCCAGAAGATCCATCGGCACGGATTGCAAGGTGGGTCCGGCTCTGCCCCCCCCCCCCAACTCCCTCCACTCCCCTCCCCCCCGCCCCCGTGTGCCTCGAAAAGTGGTCTCGGCGAACGAACGAGGTCGGGGAAGCTTTTTGGTTATGGGAAGTGCAACCCTAGTGATGCGATTGCTGTGCCAAGGGGCTAACCCTGCTGCATTGTGCTACCTTTTGCCAAAATATGGCTAATCTGCACCAAGCCTGTGCCAAAGGACAAATTTCAGTCGCCTTTCAAAACCGAAACTAAACTGTGTTCCGTAATTGAGAATGCGTCTGTTAGGGAGCTCAAGAGGCCGCCTGTCGGAAAGTACCCTGCATCAATCGTCCATTCGGTCTTGCATGGTTTTCCCGCCGTCTCGCGTTTCGCGCTCTCTTTATCTCGTTGGTCTCGTCTCGCGTCTTTTTTAAAATATTTTCAACGATAGATGCGGGTGTGTGTGGACGCTACGCTAGCATGCCGGGTCGCCGCGGAGGAGCTACTTTGTGAGCTGAAGCACTCGCTCCTGAAAGCAACTGCCGTGGGAAACTATATTTGGTCCCTGCCTTCCAGTCACCATGGTCGCGCAACGTTGGGTGTTGCCGTCTCCACGTCGCTGCAGACATGGCGCTTGCTAAACAAACTAAGTACCGCCGTGTGCTCATCAACATTCCTGTTCTTGTTTAAATCATAAGCTACTACAAAAGTCCCTCTTTAACTCAAAGGAGTTAAAGAGGGACTTTAACCACGAAAGGAAGTTGATGAAGAGAAGTGAGCTTAAGCGAAGAAGGCGACGTCTGCACAGTGAACCCGCAAAGCGCGCTTGTTTGTCTTGAGTTCAGTTGTTGCACAAAGTGCTCTAAGAACTTTTTTACTTTGGCTCGCGATGTCTTGCATCAATGCACTCAGGTTTTTTCTTTCTGTGTGTTTAGCTTGTACCTTGCCTGCTGGCCTGGCAAGCACGCGTCGCCGAACTTTTTTTTGTCGTATGCTGGACAGTTACGATTTGCATACAATTTTGGGAACCATTTGGCGACTGATTGGAGTGGCACGATTTCAGTTTCGATCGAACAGCCGTTTTCTCCGCTCGTGCAATGAAGCACATGCAACTTAACTGCAAGCCTGCCGAAGTTGCCCTCACGTGCATGCGAACATGATTGCATGGCAGAGGCATCAGTTGGGACACTTTCAATCTATTTTTTTCGTTCGCTTACTTTTGACGCAAATCTGGGACTTCGGTAACCAGTAAAATGGTGGCAAGCAGCTTTTCGGAATTGCTCGGCAATGCCTACAGCATTGTATACTTGTGGGATGTCTCAGCAGTAAAAACACCAGCAGCGAGTTCCGTCACATCAGAACTCAACACAAAGTGCCCTTCGTTTGTCCAGCACTTAAAGCGAATATTTTTATTTTGTCAATATCTGCTCCAAAAGCCACTTTTGCTGCTCCAAAATACTGTTTTTGCTGCTCAAAAAGCCGCTCTTACTGCTCCAAAACACTGTTTTTGGTGCTCCAAAATGTCTTGGGCCAATCACATCACTGCAACCCCCATTGGGATGGCGAACGTACGAAGAGCGGCGCTTGCGGTTGGAGCGTGCATGCAGTTTCTGCGGCAATGACTGCGGGTCCCTTCACCCTTGTTGACGAGTGGTGCCTCCCGGCAACAAACAACACTTTTTGTTGTTTGTCGTCCACTCTGGGTTGCCGACTTGCCGACACCCATTACTCCATTTCCACCATACTACAGCTTTGCTGCTTGTTCACCAGAGTGGAAAGGCTGTTTTATGTAGTGCTGTGGCAACAGTCTTCATGGATGGATGGATGGATGATTCCGGCTGAGCCCTTTGGATCGGGCGGTAGCTTACACCACCTAGCCATTCTGTTTTACCATTTAAGCTTAGAATATTCAAATGGAAAAACCATATTCACTCCGCACTGCAAAGAAAGTGAGGCTTTATAGAACCCCCTTGCCATCAGTTAATAAGAAAATACCTAGTTTTCTCTCACTTTCTGCCACCATTCACTTAACTACAGTGCCACCTAGTGAAAATACACACAAATAGTTGACAAGAAGAAGTTTGGCACGCACCGAGAACGGAAAAAGATATGCTAAGTGTTTTTTCCTTGCCACTAATATTTTACCATAGGTGACTGATATCGTGTGCGCAGATATTACTGACATTTAGTGATCCATAGAGGTTGTGCAAGGATCCTGCGACTTTTGTCTGGTGTTGCGCACAGGCAACAAGGCTGTAACTTGCAAGTTTACCTTACAATTATTTTTTTGGCACCAATTTTTATTTGATATTTTTAAACATTAATATCTTAGAAAACTAATGTTTTAAGCACTTATTGTACATCTCGTCAGATAAGACTCTTCTTTTTATCCGTGGGTGAAGCCATCGCTTGCAACTCGCCGACAAGCGCCTTTCGTCAACCACTTTACTCAGCAGAAAATCTTCCCCAAAGGGGCGTGTCGCGATCTTTGAACTCGTTTTTAACGAGGAAATAAGCTATGCGCAGTTGTGGTTTTGCGTTTGTTGGGATGCTTAGCATCTAGATTGAGTTGTCACTACAATAGGACGATCTCAGAATCGACTTCAGTGCCCTTGTAACCCTTTAAAGGGGTTATGACATGAAAATTAAACGGATAGATTATTCTTGAAATGGAATGCTCATAGGCTACTTAGTATATACACCAAGTTACGCAATTTTTAGAGCTCTGATAATTGCAATATTCAATTTACGAATTTTTATAATTTTCATCTGGCGACCAGGCAACACTGCTCAAGTTAGTCACACCATGGTGTCCATAAACCACGTGACCATGAACACTCTCTCATTCTAGGCGCCCCCATGATCGCCCAAGCTCTTCTCGTCGCGGTACGAACAAAATCTCTCAAACAGCTTGGTAAACTGAAAGCTATTCTCGCTCTCGCCCCCCGGCCGGTTGACCTTCCACCCTGCATGCGCCCGCGGGATATTCACGGACAACGGTGACCACGGCGAACTCGTCGTCGCTGGAGCTCGTCGCCAGCGGGTCGCAGTCAAAATGAACAGCTTCCAACATCTCTTGATAGCAATCACTCTCATCGCTGCTGCGATCAATGTCGAACACTTCGACAAGGCGATCGATGCCGTAGACGTAATCGTCACAGACCGGATGCTGGAAACGTGGAAGGTAAACGAGGAAGCTGAGAGTTGATATGCCAAGAGAGCCGAGTCTGTGAGTGCGTGCAAGTAGACACCGCGCTGGAGGCTGGCGACGTCATCAGCCTCCAGGTCCGCCCGGATCTGCCCCTCCGAGGGGCCCGCATATAAATCGATTTATCCACGAAATTATTGCGCCTTTTTCAAAACGAATTTAGCTGGATTATAGGAGCATACAATGGGTCCTAGCAGTATAGTTATGTCATATTTTATTTTTGGCGTGTCATAACCCCTTTAAGTGCCTTGGACGAGCTGAGCTCGTCCAGTGTTTTTTTTTTGGTAACCCTCAATTACACGGATGAGCTAGGCTCATCTGAGTAGTTTGCGGTGCTGATCATAGATGGCAACACTCGTTTTAGCTAGCTCATTTTTTTTTCGCCGCTGCTGATTTTGGCATAATAAACTTTTGAAATTTTATCTGTAATGCTGGAGGAATAAAACTTCTAAATAAAAATATATGGCACTTTTAGGTTACTTTAAGAAAGAAAAAAAAAGGGGCACTTAAAGGGATACTACAACGAAATTTTGGTGGTCATTATTTGGTCTATATATGTTCAAAGGAGCAGTATCACATCGAACACACCGATATCTTGTTTAAAAAGTCCCGAAAAGGAATTTTAAAATGAATTAAACGATTAGCAAAGAGCACGTGGTGGATTTTGCTAACGCATCGTTTGTAATGCCCGTCTAGGAACCTCGACAGCTAGTGACGGTAACTGTGTCGCCTCCGGCCATGGCGAGAGAAGAGGGGAAGGAGGAAATCCCCTCTCCCCGAGAATCTCTTTTGTGTGACCCAGAAGTCGCTATTGTCCCCCTACAAGATTATAAAAGATTAACCCGTCACTTAAAATTCGTACAAAGGCAGCCGCTTCGGTGGCTGGAATGACTAGGCCATCCTCTCAACGTCAGCCTCGCCGTAGCTTTGCTCGTCGCGAGATGAACTACGTCACAATTGCTGGGGTGTCGCATGCTCTCCGCTGGCTGTTCTCCGAGCGCTTGCCAGAGTGGGCCGTTTATAACGAAAAATACAGCCATCAGGCTCAAAATACAAACGTGCGATTGTCATTTACGGATATTGTGGATCATATTCAACCCATTTTTGAACACGACGGGTATATTTCAAATTTAGTTGAAGTATCTCTTTAAGAGGTTAATTGACACATTCGCTTCTGCTTTTGCACCGGCAGTGGAGAAGATGACCCAGATGGTGGGATCGTACGCGCCGAAGACGGAGATCCAGTCGTTCACGACCCCGCAAGAGGACATGCCGTCGGGGATGCTTGCACGGGGCACTTACAACGTCAAGTCTCTCTTCACGGACGACGACAAGCACGAGCACCTCAAGTGGGAGTGGACCTTCGAGATCAAGAAGGACTGGGAGGACTAGCCGACGGAAGGATGCCTTTTGCCCTCCTGCACCGCCGTCGACTGTACATAACGGAGGCGCCGCCGCCCCGTTTACGTGATTCTGCTGTTTTCTTCTTCGTTTTTGTCTGTTGCCGTTTCGTTTCTCGGTGTTCCATGGCCTTCTCCTTCGTTTTTTTCTTCATGGTTCCGTTTAAGTGATTCTAAAGCTCCCTAGTTTGTCTTTCAGGTTGTTTCCGTAGGTCTATAAGAAACACTGCCCCGTGTTTACGGTTTACGATTTTCTCCCTTCGTTTATTGTTTCTCGTGGTCTTGTTTCCGTAGGTCCACGGTTTCCCACAGTTTGGGGCAAGACTTTCTTAAAGTTATTATTTTTTTTTTATAACCCAGAGGGAAACAGTTCTATGCAAACAAGTTTCCGCAGGAAAGCTTTTTCTTGTTTCTGTTAACTGAATGCTCCCAGTTTTCCTTGAACCGCTGGCTTGGAGAGATTTCGTGGCAAGCCGACGGTTGCTTTTTGAGTGTGAACGGTGGGATGTGCAAGTCTTGAGTGCCGGCAGCACAGTTTTGTCAACGGCTTGCCAAAGACGTCGTCTTTGCTCGGTTCGAATCTCGCTCACACGACTGTTCCTGGGTGTAATACGACTTGTTAACACGGTGAATGCAACGCAATGTTTTAAGGGACCTTCTTATTCGCAATTGGCTCACAGACGTCGGGCAGTCCCGTGCCGCGATTTTGTAGACTGCGACGTCGTCCACAACGGAAACCGAACAGAGAGATGCAACTTTGTGATAACTTTGTCGACGGTCACATTGCCGGGATTGTGCGAGAACGCCCGCTACTCTTTTTCTAACGCCATGCCGACGTCTGAGTGTGCCAGGTTTACGATAACTTTTGCCACGGACAGTGGCGTAGCCAGGAACTTTTCAGGGGAGGGGGGGACTGAGGCGGTTGGGATGTCCACGAATTGGGGTGCGGAGGGAGGTAAGAGGGTCAAACTGCACGTGTATATTATAAGGCCGGCTGTGTTTCTGGGGGTGCCGAGTCCCCGTAAGCCTCCCCCCTGAATACGCCACTGGCCGTGAAATCGGGGTAACGCAAGCCGTAATGTCTTGCTGATACGTTGCTGTTTTGGAGCCGACCTTGTCTAAGGCCTTTGCTGTAGCCAAGACACGGTCATGTGTCACCTATGGTTGCTGCGCACGTTTGTCTTTGCATACGGTCGTGTCGCTTTGTAGGCGGAAGTGCGACGCCCGATTCTGCTTCCTCTCCGAGGGCGACGTTGCCATTTTCGTGTGTTCTTTCTTCGTTGGTTTCGGTTCTGGTTTGCCACGTCTGCGAGGGCTCGGAGCGGTCTTTTCCCCGCCACGTGCTCCAGTTGCCAAATGATTGAAGTCGTCCGCCTTCGAAGCTCTCGCCCGCAGTCTTAATTTGCTGCAAGCCGCTCGTGCAAGCGTCGTAACAGTTTTGTCGGTCCGCGACGCGAGTTAAGTCTGCACAGTCTTTTGAAATAGAGAGAGAAGGAACTTGTTGTTCACAGTTTGCTCACAGTGGAAACAAAGAAACAGAAATGCGCACACAGTGTTCCCTCGTCTTGCAGGCGCACTCTGAATGAAACCCACACGCCTAGAAGTGTTGCGTTCGTCCAGCACCTAGCCTTGACCCGCGTTGCGGCGACCTTGTCGTCGCAACGTTAGCCTTTGCAATGCTTCCCATTTTTACTGCACACAAATTTTCGTATACAGTCTAACGTTTATATGTGCCGCAACGTTGACAACGCAGAGAGCAAGTCGTCTGCTTTTTGCGCAGCGGTTGCGGTGACGTTGGAACGACGCCAGAGCTCCGATTGGTTTTGATTGATAGTGGGTAGACTTCAATGCTAGATGCCTTTCGGTCTACCCACTATGTTTTCAATCGGCCAATAAGAGCTCGGCGTTCCGACATCGTCGCAATCCCTGTGCAAGAAGCAGACGAACTTGCGCTTTGCATAAAGAGCATCTAATCAAATGTCGCACGGAGAGTTTAATGCGAACGGTGTTCGCCACCTCACCCCTCTACCGTTTTGTACGTGCCTTAGATGTGAAGAACCACCTATGGTGTCTGCACATTGCATTTGTAGATCTGCACACGTGCGTGCACACATTGGGACGACAGTATTTTGGAGATACACGTTTTGATGGCAGTTCTTTCACGGAGCAGAGAACAACGAGGAATCCTTTTTTTTTTCTTCTGGCCATGCTTTGCAGATGAGCTGGTGTGTACCTCCTGTTGCAATAAACAACATATTTAAAATGGATTCGTAAACTCCCTCTCATTGCTTGGCTGTTGCTACACTTGGGATTTTGCTGAAGGTCAAAAGTGCAGGTGGCAAGCAACTCGCACCTTTAACCTTTTATATGTGCTCTCGTTGAAGCGAAGTAAAGGGGACTGCTTTTTACTGCAGCATCAAGACTCCGACTGCGTGTATAGCCACGGCTTGTGCCATCTGTGCCAGAAAGCGGTCTCAAGGCCCGCTTCTGACGGTGCAATTTCTCCCAGCAACTTGACGTCGCAACACCAGCAACATGGGGCTGCCTGCGTTCATATGCAGCAACCAAATTCCTACAGTTTGCTATTATGATTTTTCATATGATTTTTCTTGCGCTAGTTAGACGTGCAGTTACACGCTATAAACATGTTTTCATATCTTTAAGTGGCATTGAGAATACTAACTCATCTTTCCAAAACTATTTATTCCACAAAACAATTCATTTCTAACCAGAACCAGGTCTTTAGTTGTCATCACCACCACAGAAGTGTGAAGTGAAAATATTGCGTCCACAATTGGCTGCTGCCGCTTCAAACATTTTCGAGTTGTTCGAGTTGCTCATCTGTTTTGAGCCGGACCCAATGCCAGCAATTTGTGTTGCAGCGCAAGAATCTAGAGAAATCTAGGAAACAACTTGCCAACAACACCGAAATTGCCGACAAAATTACGCCGTCTGAAGCGGGCCTTATCCAGACCGAGATGGGCAGGGGCGTGGATTGAACCCAAGATCTTTGGGCTCTGCAGCGAGAGCTTTCAGTCCACCTGTTCCATGCTATGATAAATACACATGCACAGCCATGAATGCCCCATCACGTAGTAATACACAACCCACGTTGTCTAAGTCTATTGACTACTCCAGCATCGCTCGACAAGCGACGAAGTAGAGAATGATGCGGACACTGTCTTTTTCTTTGTATCTCGGCCTCTGAAAACACCTTTCCAACATGATTTCTAGAAAAAAAATTTTTGGCTTTCCGATTGTGTAACTGTAGAGCACTCTGGTGGGATTCTGTTCAGTGTCACCCGCTCTGCTCTAGAAGAGGAGGAAAAAGAAGAGCGCACGCCGCCCCGAGAAGGCGGTGCAGCAGAGGTTGAACAGCTGGCTAGCTGCCAAATGCCTCTGGTCGAGATATGCACCTTTCCTTAGAACAACACCTGCAACAGAATGAAGATGAAAGCAAGTGCCACACAAAATTCAGCAGACGGAAACTGTTACGGAAAGCGCCAAGCTCCGGCCCACAGCTGGTGGCCAGGTAAGGTTTTTTTTACAAACGTCGCAGCATGTGTTAGAACAGCGGCTCTGTAATCGGGTTCCGCGGACCTGTTGGGGTTTGCAAAGCCCTCCTCAACAACAAACCACCCGCCCCCTCCCCCCCACATTTTCTTGAAAAATAAAAATGTTTTTGTTGACCCTCACAAAGTGGCACAAGCTACTGACTGTTTTAAAGGGTACAGCCATTACCACCTATCCATCCATTCATCCTTTTACTTTTAGCTCCTTGCTTCTGTCTATAACAGTAAAGGATGTCCTTTCCACAGTGTAGTTAAACGTCTCATTTTAAACCTCCCCGCCACCTTTCCTCTTCACCCGTTGTCATGGGGTTGCCGACACGTCCATGCTTGAGAACCACTGAGTTGGAAGAAAACACTTAGTGCTGATGATGTGCTGGACTACCAATGTTACGTTTCAATAATTTATGAAAGAGTAACAGAGTTTAGAGTTTTGCAACACCTCCAAATCCCTGCTCTATACTCTGTTAAGGGGGGACATGGGCCTAAGCTTCAAAATTTTTTGAAAAAATTAATTTTTCAATTTTGAAGTTTTTGGTTTTAGAAACTAATTATACACCCTTACACTAAATTTCATAACTATGCGCCAAATAGTTCCATTGATATCAAATATTTTCAACACATTGTCAGGCAGTAACAAAGTAAAGGAGTTCAATGTTTGAATGCATTTTTCTCCGTTCCACTTTTTGCTGCAAATATCATACGAAGGAATCTTTTGTTCGAAGGTAAAATTATTCTGATACCACAATCAAGATGTTTCTGAACTGAAATTTACTGGGGAATTGGGCTATCTACTTTATTTTGTTTTACATTAAAGTCCTCATTGAGAAAAGAACATATTTTCAAAAATTAACATAGGACAGATATGCATCTCATATTTTGAGGTAATCACTCTTCCTGAAATATTTACATTTGAGTTATAAAAACTAGATAGCCCAAAGTCCCACATCCCCCCCTTTATACTCAAGCAGTTAAAATGATGCTTAATAGCTTCATTTGCATATTATAGATTTCTTAACGAAGAGTGACACATCATCTTATGCAGGTATGTAAAGTTGGCCTAGAGAGCTGAAAGTTTGCACAGTACACCTATATCTTAAGTTAAATCTCCCCTGAAAATTTCATTCCGATCACTTGAGTAGTTCAAAAGTTCAACCTCTAGCCAGTGTCCCCCCTTAAGTCGAAGCGCAGGCGATACTATTCAATTGCTAATAGAGCCAGTTAAGCGGCAACAAAGGATCATTGGCTTGGCATTTGCCGTCTTTCTGTGCGTGCGTGCTGTCCATCGGCTAAACCAGTCGACCACAGTGAATACATTGTGACCTTATGCTTTTAGTGTGCGTGTCTGCATTTGCATGTACTACTAGAGCCTAGATGACGCTCAGGCTTATAGCGAAACAGTGTGGAGGACGTTTTTTTTTCTGTGGACTAGGATAAAGAAAGTCGGAAATCTAGTTCATACTCTAATCGTGTTTACAAGGACCAAAGTTTGTTATTTCTTTTTTGGAAACTGGGCGTTTCGTATAGAGCGGAGTTCAAATGGTGCCAACGAATTATCAATGAATTTAATGGCAACCTTCGCCGGTGTCAACCTAGGCTAGATGTCATTCGTGCACTAAAGCATTGCAATATTGTTTTTCATTGCAACAGTCCAGAAAAGCTTCTCGTCTTCGAAGAGGTGGAGGTCGTTGGAGGTTTTGAGACCCTAATGTGTGCAATTGACGTGACCAATCGAAGTTCAAAAACCGTAAACTTTAAGGTAAGCCTGTTGCTCCCTGCAGATGCTAGACAGGAGCACCGTGCAATTCTAGTCCATCTACAAGCAATCACGATAAGTGACTGCATCTTAGTTTTTTTGCCTTCACCAAAGTGGTCTCACCTATCACCAATCAAGTGTTACTTTCACTCTGACCACCAAATCACCTTTGAATGTCACCGCAACGACTACTATAGTCCGTTGCAACCTAAGAACGAAGGGCGAGGGTAAGCCGGGCTGGGGAGAAGGAAGCAGACGGAACGCTGGAGACGAGAGGGGGAAACCTCCTTCTCTCTTTAGCGTTTCGTCTGCTTCCTTCTCCCCGGCCCGGCTTACCCTCGCCCTTCGTTCTTAGGTTGCAACGGACTATAGTACACGAGCAAAAACACAGCTTTAAAAGGTGCCGTTGTTAATTGCTTGAGCAGAGGATGCCCTGAATCGGTATTACCAGATATGTACTTCAATTTTGCTTCACTAGGTTCAGGGATGGGCAAAATACATGCAAATATGTATCGAAATACAAATACAAAATACTTCGTCAAATATGTATTTCATTACAAATCTAATTACATTTCCAAAAAAAATTTAAGTACAAGATACAAATACAACCAAATGTATTTGGTCTCCTCCAAATACTTTTCCAAATACATTCCTCAAAATTTGCGTCAGCGACTTCAGGGCACCTGCCAACGGGTTTCTGGGTATCTCATTTTAATTTTGCATTGCACACTCGGGAGTTAGTGTGCGAGGCTCTAGTAATGTAATAGAAATAGACTCACAAAAAATGTAATCAGCTTGGACGTAATAGGTGAAAAAAAGTACAGAGCTTCAAGCAGCTTTTTTTGTCGATTACATTTTGGTATAGACCAACAAAGAACCGAGACGACCAAGACGCGCAGCACTAGCTAGAGAATTGTTTTATTGTTCCAACTCGCACCAGTTACGAAAATCTGGACAACCCGCGCATTTAGAATGTCCCAGGCAAAAATATGGATGGAAATCAGGCTTGAAAGCATCACAAGTTGTCACAGGCACTTATTTAGCCAGTCTGCCTATGAACGTCAATTTCGTCACTATTCTTGCCCTGGACTAGCACCGTAATCACAAAGTCACTAAACGCTTGTGCTTGATTGAGAGACATTGCATTTGGTGCAGAACATAGTTTTCTTCCTGCTCTGAACAGTGACAATATATTTGGGGGATGTATTTTCGCCCACAAAATTGTATTTAATTACAATTGTATTTGAAATGCCCACGTTTAGTATTTAAATACACACGTCAAATACATTATCCAATTTGTAATTAAATACAAATCCAAAATACACAAAGTATTTGAAATGCTGCCCATCCCTGACTAGGTTCATATATCTTCTATATTAGCCTACTAGAAAGGGGTACTGCCAATTTATTTTTATAGAGAGTATATAAATAGTATAGTACCTTTTTCAGGTAAAATACCAGAAAAAATGTGTCACAAATTTAATCAATACAATAAGGTTTGAAAAGGAGCCTATGGTGGTTTACAATCCACTAAGAAACAGCTTCATCAAGAGATGTGCATGTTGCATGGGAGTAGGAATAAAGTGAGGGGAAACATGTAGGGGGAAATTGTGGTCACCCCACTTTTCTTGTCGCTTCAATGAGCAAACTTTGCTCTCCAATATCCTTGTTAAGGTTTAGCATCTTCCACGGCAGTAATAAAAGATCCCCCACCTACGACAAAATAGCTATTCTTAGTTATCCCGTTCTAGAGACAACATTAAGCTTTTCACAAGGCTTATTTGCTTTACGTTTCACTGTAAACGACTTAATTGTTGCAAATAATAGGTCCCTCAAATAATTCCGGTAAAATGTGAACACATTGTGATCTATATTGAGATCCCGCTGCGTCACGAAAATTAGAACCCTGAATTATTCCGAAACTTCAGCTTTGACCTAAATC